ATACAATAAATGTTACAATATCTTACTGTGGCGACTAGAGACTACTGTAAATAATTAACGTAATAGGGTCATTGTAAAATAGTAAAATTGTAAATTAAAATTTATATAAAAAGTGTGCTATAAAAATATTATATTAATTACTTATGTTTTTATTTATATTTTAATTTGTCTTGTTTTGTATTGTTTTAAGATTAAGTTGATTTACATTCACTTATATTTTCTTTTACCGTTTGGTTATAACATAGCTAAACTATTAATAATTTTTGTTAAACAATATGTCATTTATAATAATTGTTAAATTTAGTTTAAGCATATTTTGCCTTGTTTTTATTTTTTCTATTATTTTATTTGTTTCTTTATTTTCTTTTATATAATATTTAAGTTAAGCACCTATATATTGCCTGTGTCAAATTGCAAGCCATCCGTATTACTTCGCTTGTGATTGCATTTGTTAAAAAATACGTGTCTAGAATTAAGTTAAATTGAGAAACTGTACAATACAGAACCTTTGGGGCCTTCCATTAATCACGTGAGGCTCGAAATGGGGGGAGGGGGGTTTCACAAAAATCACGAAATACCACAAGGGGGATAGGGGTGTAGTAAGATTATCGCGTGTATTTATTTTTTCATCAAACGCGTGATTTCTAAACCGAAAAGCGGCGTGTTATGTGACCTTGACTCGCCTGTACATGTAAATTCATGTCACAAGCATGAACCTAATCCGAGCCATAATAAATAGTCTAGAGTAGAGATGGGTCGTACTTGCAAAATCGATTACCAAGGCTTGCAAGTACGTCCACTTTCAAATACCAGCGCCAAAAACCAGGGCTTGTGATACTTTCCAAGTATTTTCTTTCTGCATCGAAAATCGATCCGTAAGACTATATAAATAAGGAGTGCAATCGCATATTATGCTAAAATAGTAATTTTTCAAGCCTTGATGGAACAAAATACTTGCATAGAATATTGATCTGTTACTATATTATACAAATAAAGAGCACAACCGCGTTTGGATAAAAAAATACTTCCATACCTTTAAAAGTTCCAACTTTCAAGACTTGTTGTAAGAAAAATACTTGCATGGAATATTGAACTATTACTATATACAGATAAAGAGCACAATCGCGTTTACAAAAAAATACTTCCAATCCTTTAAAGTAAATACACCTTGATAGAACATTGATCCGTAACAAAATATAAATAAGGGGCAGAATCGCGTAGCGTCGACAGAATATTCGAATACTTTGAAATATTGCAAGTATTTTGGGTTGGCACTTGGTCGGCGTACTTGCAAGTAAATACCTGGTATAAAAACCTGGTCGCGTAAATACGCACGTTGCCTAGTCTAGAGATGCACAATGTTCGTCCTTCACGCATTCTTAGAGATTCTCTGTGTAGTGCTCAAAAATAATGACGCCGAGTGGCTTGATCAAACCGACGCTAATCTTCAACAAAGCACAGTGCCAACAACCGACTTGCAAGATGCTTATCCAGTTGTTAGTGTTGAAGAAAGTAAGTCATGTACTAGTACAATATTTAAGGTTTTTTGCATAATCACACCATTCCTTTAATAGTATTTTTATGACAGTCAAAAACAACCTGCAACCTTTCTGTCTAAACATTTTTATCATGGTCCTTAATTTCAGAATAAAACTAGATTATACTTTATAGGTACTAAAAATACACGTGATTTTGAGCAGGGGGAGGTAGTCTTAAACCTTCACCAAGATGGACGGCCCCTTTGGAGGTGTAACCTCTGGAGGTAATAAAAAAAAACCTTATCCCCGCAATTACTGTCATTATAACAAAATTACAAAATACATCAAAATTGATGTCTTTAAATCTCTCAAGATTTAATTTTAATTGAAAATGATGAAGCATGAAGAATGAAAATTTAAATACTTGAAAAAAAAAAAACAAAGAATAAATAATTTTATTGATCAGTCTTGTGTTATTTGTATTCCTAATATTACGTGTACTAGCTTTTAAAATATTTAACAAGCTTTGCTAAAGAATCAACATATTTCTTAATTTAAAACTTTGACTTGTAACTTTAATAATTACCTCCTAAAATATAGTATAGACCGATTTTATTATCATTAAATATGACTTGATTATGGACTCGCCTTGGATATTGTTGACACAACCTATGTTATATAATTAAATCATGGCATTGAGCTATTGAGACTCAATAGCTTAACGGTTTAGGGGTAACTACAATCTAGAAGGTTGTAGAATCTTTAACCGGGACCACTTGTCTCATGGGATCACCTGTAAGTGATATAATACCACTATTCTTTATTTAGAAAAAAATTGATTATTAGGTTTTAGGTTTTCTAAAAACTCTATACCTAACTCGTTTGCTATTACCAGTTGAACAATTATTGTAGACCGCCCTTTTCTTGTACTAAACCCCAGTCTGGAATGGTAGGTGAAATATATCAACATGGAACATCAACATCAATATCTGGCAGACCATGCTCTGCTAGGTGCCTTCCTTCCTTCTGCTAGGTTGCCTTGCTTGTTATACGCCCGGAAATTATATTCACTTCAGTATTAGTCAAATATAAAATAAAAGAAGTATACTGAATGATTTCTTATATTTACGCGAACACTACACATTGATTAAAACTACTTTTACGGATTTTATCGCGTTTAATTTTAATTATTTTTAATTCAGACTTTATGGAATTAAAATGTCTAAAAATGCGGTTACTTTGTCTGATGGTAAAATTGTGAAAGTATTGTCTACGTACCGCTTGTAGATCCTTGGTGTAACATGTGCAGTAAGGAGGGCTTTCTTTTCAAAGTCTTCCATGAACATATCGGCGACAATGGGAGATACAGGTGAGCCCATCGCAACACCATCTACTTGGTTGTAAACTCTTCCTTCCACCATAGATAGCCAGATGTAAGGCAATATCTGAGTAGTACTGCATATTCTTCTGGCATTTTATTTTCCTCTAGTTTCCTAGTTATAATTGAGAAGCAGTCTTCAACAAGTAGGCATGTAAATAGACTGAACATCAAAACAGACCATTGTTTCATGGTCAGTAAGACGTAGGTCTTTTATCTCACTGACAAAATGGTATGAATCCTTAGTGTGTGCTCTTGTGTGTCCTCTGAGTGGTTATAATATTTTAGGTGTTGAGCCAATCTGTAAGTTGGCGAATCAATCTGACTCACTATTGGACGTAATGGTTTGTGTATTTTTGGTAACCCACCACCACCACCGAAGTTGTATGGGTGAATTTGTTGTTGTATTTTGCATAGATCGGACTATAAACGATAATTAAAAAAGCTGAAGGTACTCCGGGTTTAACAATCGGGACGTAAGTCATCTCAGTCCCCCGTGACCATGGGTGCTGGAAAGCACCCGAAACGTCGCGAATTAAAAATAATTAAAATTAAACGCGATAAAATTCGTAAAAGTAGTTTTAATCAATAGGTGCACTGAAACTTGTATACACCCTACAAGAGGCTAATTAAAGTATATTGTTCCCCACATTCTAATGATGGCCCCAATAACTTGGGTCAAGTATTTGCTGATTATTTGTTGTTTGAACAACAGCCATTTCATGGTCTTAACTCGTAGCTCTCTGGTAACTACCATCTGCCAAGAGACTGAAAGATGTAAAGTACCTACCTAGAAAAATTAACCACATGTATTGATTGCAAATATACGATGTTTTTGCACAAGGTGGTTGTAACAGATGCTTACTTTAATATGCACTGGTCACATCCACAGAATTAACAGGATTTAAAGCCTCATAGAGTTCTTTACACAAATACAAAACAATCTTAGAGCATCCAAAACCGGCGCAGAAATTCTATATAATAATCCGAAATAATTCGATATAATTATCTTTCTTGTTTTTCAATTTCTGATACGAAAATGTAGTTGCAGTAGGCTCGAGACATTTTTTTTGTATTAAAATGGTTTGAAGATAAACTTAAACCTACGTCCATGAAAGAGGATAAAATTGTCCCTTTCAAATGTCAAAAAAGGATAATTTTTTCACTTTCCTTTGGCCTATGCTACGGACGGGGATATAATATATGTCTACTCGTTATGTCAAACGGGGATATACTATAGGGATAAGATAATTTTATCTCTTGTCAGTGGATATAATCGGGGGATATAATTTTTGTCTCTTGCCCATGCTCGCAGGGTGGATAAAACTGAGCAAGGGATAAAAAAATTATCCTCTCGTCGTGGATATATTGTCTCCTGCCCATGCTAGCCCGGCTGGAGTGGATAGATGAACACGCGTTTCAGAGTATCCACCCTAGGATGGATAAACGGAATAAACCATTTTTCAATTTATTCACTAAATATGTTTTATATTTACTGTAATACGAGCATTGAAAAAGGGATTTTATTCATTTACTAGGACACTGGCTTCATTTATGTAAGATCTAGTAATGTTTGGTCACGTAGAAAGAATGAATGAGGAAAGAGTGACAAAGCAAATTTATATGGCAGATGTGAATGGCCGAATCGGGAAGGGACGACCTAGAAGAAAGTTTATCGACCAAATTGGCGATATTTTGAAAATGGGCCACGTTAGAAGTACCCTTAACCGACGAGCATGTATGCGTAGATATATGGATTTAAAGGAGGCGAAAGAGGTATGTCAGGATCGTGCCAAATGGAAGTCCGTAGTCTCTGCCTACCCCTCTGGGTGACAGGCGTGAGTGTTTATGTTTATGTTTATATAGTAATGTACGCGGCGTTATTTAGTCGTATATTTTATCAACTTTTACGGATGTTTGAACGGTTTGTGAAGCTTTATTATATGTATATATTTTGGTTACGAGTTAGTAATATACAGTTCCTGCAATTGCGAGGAGATGGTGCTCTTCAAACAAGGTAACACCATTTTATATTTTACGCTGATTTTAGTTAATTAATTTAAACATCTTTGACTAATTCATCACTTAAAGCTGACATACCTATCCAATAAATTGTTACAAAAAAGCATTATTGTTGTACGTACCGCTTCAACCGCAATTTTCTTTCTGCCAGGAGGTAGTATGTAGCAGTTATGTGATTATATTCATTTTTTTCTAATGATTCCAAAATATGTTCCTTTGTGGCAATGGAACCATTTACCATCCTTTGCAATATGGCTGATCGATCCTCCTCTGATAGCTGTTCTTTTGTTACTAGTGGAGCATCGAAATCTTCTACAGCTATGCCTTCACCAGCAGTGACCCAAGGATCTGTTGCAATCTCTGATAAGGTGGCTCGCTTTTCTGGTTCCCTGACTAGCATTCTTCCTATTAACCTTTCAGGAATAGAAAATATTTTATATTTATTTCAATCTCACACTTTGAATAAATACATAAACTTATGTAATGACTAGTGATAGGCGTAGGTAGTGCTATTCCCGGTATTTAGTGACTGTTATCTAAAATGGATTCAGGATCCCGTGAATATATTATTTATTTATTTTATCAAACAATTTTTTATTGAGAACTATTTTGGGAATTCGTATTTTACATACCTATTCAGCTTTGTGCAAATATTTTAATGGTCACTAAAGTCATCCCTTTCCATTGCGCTTTTGTAGCTCATCGCGGGTGTGGTGAGGACGCGGTTCCACTTTACCCATTCAATATAATCTAATATAAGGAATGTTTATGGCTTGTTCAAGATTCTACATTTGTTTAGGTTTACATCTGTGTAGAATAAAATCTGGCTCGCCGTGGACAAGTTTGAATAATAAAATCAAGAAGTAGGCTTAAAATGACGCGAGTGGCGCAAAATTGCGAAGCCAACTTCACGATTTTTTTACTACAAATCTAGAAAGTCTATATATGTCACACCTAGGACAAAATATATCGTTGTCTACAAGTGTTGTTTTGATTTTCTTTATTATTCAATCATCTTCATATATAACAAATTATTATAATAAAGAAATGGTGCTTATTGAGATATAATAAGAAGATTCACTTTCTCAACTTTTATACTACATATGAGCGAACGAACTACAGACAAGGTGATTTCTTACGATTTGTAACATAAGAATTTGTTTCACATTGATGATCATTGAAAAGTCTTTGATGTATTTGTACACACGACGGCACAAGCTACATTTTCCAGTATAATAAGATCCCGCCTATAGACCAGTAAACAGCACCGCACTGAACCAACTTATATGGATATGAGTAGTTTGATATTTCGTCGTGCTTACTCAGTTTAATTTCGTTTAATACATCGACATTTAGAAAAATACTCCCAAGAATCCCGGGGCATGCGCATATTAAAATTGTCATTCGAGTTCATTGTCTTAAAATGGCTACCTACACCGATCACTAGTAATAACTTGATAAGAAAATAAATTCATACCTTTTACAAGAACTTGATATATGCGGTGGTATAGTGTATTTACAATCCATAATCATTGTAAGCGTTTCACTGTCATTTGCTTCCTGGAATGGTGCCTGTCCACATACCAACATGTACAGGATCACACCTAGGGACCAAACATCGACAGCGGGAGCATCATAAGAGTCACCTAATAAAATCTCAGGAGCTGAGTAAGCTAAAGATCCACATGAAGTCTCTAATTTCTGCCCAGGACAGTATTTGTTACTAAAACCAAAATCAGTCAATTTTACTACGCCTAACTTTTCAAAAAATACTACATTTTCTGGTTTTAAGTCACGATGGACAACATGTAACCTGAAATAAAGAATAAAATTTTAGGCAACATCAAATCTTAACACTAACTTCTTAACTAACGTCTTGATAACAATGAAAGATATAAAACCAAATTCATGTGTACCTATGGCAATAAGAGATTGCGCGTACGATTTGGCGAAAATAATCACGAGCAAGAGATTCTGAGAGACCAGAGTCGTGTCTCATTATATAGTCATATAAATCACCTCCATCCCCTAACTCTAATATCAAGTATAATTTAGTCTGCGTGTCAATTACTTCATATAGTCGCACCACATTGGGATGTTGAACTAATTTCATGCATCGGACCTGTAAATGAAAAGGCCACATAAATATGTCATTTACAATACGGCAAAGCTTTTCTTCCTATCTCGATCACATAGGAATGTTATCTTAGTCCAGGCCGTACTTAGTTTTATAGAAAAGAATAGAATCATTTTTATTCAATATAGATTACAAGAATACTTACTGAGTCATTTAAGCTTTACCATAGGTTTGGAAAAAACCTTTGTCCGAGGAGGAACCAGCACGAAACCCCGCAAGATTTTTTTAAAACATTAATTTACAATATAATATTAGACGTAAATTGAGCCATGGTAGCTCAGGGGCTAAGCATTCACTGTAAATATCACAGTATGCAAGTAACCCGGATTCGACCCCCGTCAGCACCAATGAAATTGTTAATTGAAATTTTAAGTGATGATTTACCAGGTGCTCGGCGGTGAAAGAAAACATCGTGAGGAAACCTGTTCATCAACGCACATCGGGGCAACGCGGCGGACATTTCCTCGCCTTAAAACACTCTCAGAAAAAAGAGAGGACCTGTGCCCAACAGTGGGATGTATATAGGCTGTAACTTTAACTTTTATTATATTTTATACAATTAACAATAACATAATGCTTTGGTAATAACGCTAAAATAAACTAATCTAGCTGTTTCAACACATGTAAGGCTGCAAAACTAAGTTTGTTAGGTAGGTAGTTTAGATATATGGGGGCCCCATAAGTTTAGTGTCTACTATAATCCTGAGAACAGTGGATTCAACAAGATTCAGCTTCTCCCCATTTAAAAGCACACTGGTATTTATTCTCTGGTTTAATGCTTAGTGTTAAAAACTTTTTGTATTATTTTCTTTTAAAACGCAAACTTATGATATCTTATATCATATTAAATGAAGTTTTATTACTATAGTAATACCACAGCCTAAGAAGAACATACAGTCAGTCATCGCGTTTGATGTTATCGGAAAAGCTGGCATAAACAATAAATTGCTACATTTTAATTTATTTCACGTATAAACGAATTAAATAACTAAATCAGACAATTTGTGTTTAGAAAAAATAAATATACTAGGATATAGTAATACTAAATAATACTAGGATATGATATGAATGATATGATATACCTATAATAGAAGGATAAAAATTGTTTTAACCATTTTAATTTATTTGCGTGACAGGACAAAACTAGCAGACCGTTCCCGAGCTACTAACAGCCGCTCGGGAACTTTCCGCCCGCGTCTTGCTCTGCAACGCACCGCACAATTGCCCTTTCTAGACTCCCTCGATGCCTGACTGTAAGGAATAGTTAGACTGTGGTAATACAGGTTTTAGATCTACCCTAAGTACTAATGGCAAACTATTTATTAATATTAGCAAGAAAAATTTAACACAAGACTATCTCCACTTTACTTCATTAAGATCTTTATTGTGATCTTATACAGTAACAAGAATTTTATAGATTAATGAATGTTAAGCATAATAAGCTTTTATCCCCATTGGGTAGCACTGTTTGTTTTACTGGGTTTCACTTATGGTCTGCATGAGGCTTATGGTGTAAAATAGAAGCTAACCCAGATTTGAACAAATTTAAGCATTAGTTAATTAGTTTTAGTTATCCCTGATCAAGCCAAACCATTCATGCTACAACCATAATATAGCTGCGGCGTGGCTCTACCACAACTAAAATGTTCTGTATTATTCAATTTATTGTATTTGTAATGCACACTTTGTTTAAATGTTTTCATATTTTATTAATGTGCTGAGCGCAAATTAGACAAAGTAAAATTTAACTTTAGTATGTAACGTTTGAGTGATCTAAATTATAAAAAAAGAAATGTTGTGTTTCATCATAAAAAATAAAATAAAAGCCTTTGTTGTTCATACCTTTTTTTAAAACACGCTTAGTTATTGGGTGCGTTTGGCAGAAAAAAGCGCTAGCAAGCGCTTACAAGCGCTAAAATAGTTTTCGGCCAGGACACGATTGCTACTTCAGTAGCGCTGACACAATCCGCCATTTTGCTTATTTAATTTGTTTGTTTTGAAGTAGAGTTTATAAGTTGTTTTGTGCAATATTAGTTTTAAGTAATATAATGACATGAATAAATATATACATGTTATTAAAAATTCATGATTAGTAAGTTTTTAATATGAATACTTTACAAACATATATTTAAATTAGGTTAGGTTCCCCGGTTAAAACTAACATCGTGTCCTAGAGGAAAATAGCTACTTACGATTTGACAGCGCTTACCGCTTACGATCGCCATTTTGCTTACAAGCGCTTGCTAGCGCTTTTTTTTACCAAACACGCGTTATTGCCTTTATTGCCACAATTGGCGTGTACAAAGCAAATTGCGGATGAATATTTTTATTTTTATACAGACCAAAATAATGCACATTTCTGCTAATGCACAATTGTTTTCGTTAGAACTGAATCGTTTTTAAAATTAAAGTGCATGTGCACGGACGAACTTCCGGGAAACTCGCTAAGCAAAAGCCGCAGCTAAAAAACTTGACCTTATTGACTCTCAGGTAACTCCTAATAAATAGACTTTTATTCAATAGAAAAATCAGCTCAGTAAATCACATAAAGTCGCTATTTATTCACACGAATTAGGATCAGTACTTGAGTAGTACATCGTAGTAGTTCGTCACATCTTCGGAACCTCAGTTAGTTAAGTAACGACTTGTGACTAGACATTTTAATTGCGAATTCGTGTTTATTTTGGATGTTCTTTTTTATTAAGTTGAGTCTAGCCCTAGCTGTGTGTGCTCCTTTACTGTTCTCCGACTATTTGTGCGATCAATAAACTATGGCTGCTTTTACTAATGAAGTATATGCTGAAATCGTCTTTATGTATGGCAGAGCTGACGTAATGAATCTTTGGCACGGCGGATGGAAGATTACTAAATGTCAGTGTTTTACAGCACATTTCGTCGGCTTTCTGAAGTTGGAGTTCATCACACGAAACCTGGAGTAAATTCGGGAAGACATTGCCCAAGAGTCGAGGAAGACATTATTGCACCTTTGGATGCAGATCCTAAAGCGTCTGAGCAGTAGCTTAAAATCTCAACATTTTGGTATGGAAAGTGTAGAATACGATGCATTGAGAAAACAATTATCCTTTTCACGGCAAGTATTGTTTCAAAGGAAATTTTCGGTAAACGTGTGGTTAAGAGTAATCTGTGGAACGTTGATTGGTCCCCACTTCCTATAATTAATATAATTGTCTTTCAACAAGATGATTGGTCAAAGCATTGAACTCTAAATGTGCAAGAACATTTAGATAATTGTTTCCCAGAGAACTGGAAGGGCAGATTCGGGCCTATCTCTTGGCCACCTCGATTGCCTGATTTAACTCCCGTGGCTTTTATTGCTTGGGGATGGGCCAAGAAGCTCGTCTACAGGCATGTCGAAATATCAACGAGAGAGGAGTTAATAGGAAGAATCCATACAGCTTTTCAAGTTATGAAGCAGAAGATTGAAAATGAAAATTACAACCACAGATGTGAGAAGACATGCTCTCGTACTTGAGTCAGAAATCGCGGTCAACATTTTAAACACGAAAAATAAATTATTTTAACAAAAAAAAATGTTGTTTTACTGGCCTGTTAAAATTTAAAATATTTATCCCCAATTTGCTTTGTCTAATTCTAGGATTTGATGAGACATAAGGTCAATATGGGGAAGATCGGCATACTTTTTCAATAGTTAAGTTTGATTGATCCAAACTAATGGATCTATACATGCTAGGTTGTTGCATGCTTGGCTATTTTAAAAACACTTTAATTGCTTTAATGTCAAATAACGCTTAAGTAGAGGTACTTTTTTTAAAAATCGGCGTCTAGACGGACTTTCCTTACTGTTTGAGGTATAAGTCCGTCTAGTGGTCATTTTACACTAAATTTGATAGATTTCACAGATGGAAACATTTTCTTTCGATGAAGTAACAAATGTTCTTGAAATATGTGATTTAGTGTCATACCTATAAGGTCGCAATTCATTAAAATAAATAATTTTCTCATATTTGAGGTAAGACCGGCATATCGACTGTGAACTGGCAACTGGTACTATCTCAATTTTGACAACTTTACAGGATGTAGAAAAAACTTGTTTGCATCATTTGTATAGCATCTGGTATATTAAATAAAAATACGTAGTTTTTGAATATTTTTATTGCACATGTTATTAAAAACAAAAGTTGCAATATATGCTTCCTTATAATATAAAAACGAGATAGGACATTATAAATCAACTAAAGAACGATCATAGGATATTTTGCTTGAAACAATAAGGCATATCTTCAAAAATCAAAATAGAAACAATAACGATAGGACATTATCAACTCAATATACTATATAATGAAATTAAGTTATTAACTTACAATATAATTGTTATTCATAATAGTCTTTCCGGCATTATAGAAACATTATTAGGTGGGCAAGTCTACAAAGTCATTAGTGTAGGTGGGTGTCATTAACAATTGTTTTTTTATTATTCTCAATTTTAGAGGTCATCATTTCTTAGAGTAAATCAACGAAAGATTCAGATATCTTTTTCACTGGCCCATCTAAATTAATCGTATTGTACACAAACCTTATTTTATAAAAAAAATATAATAATTAACAAAATTAAAGAATCTACAAAAATAACAAAATAAGGCTTGTTTTATGCCACCTTTGCCTACAGTCCTACCTTAACTAGGCCAACCAACTGCATTCAGAAGTGGCAAGAAACTGATTCTTATTCTCTTTGGGATCAAAATTATTCCTGATAAGGCAAATTATCATAAAAGTTATGACAATCTTGAGGAATGACAGCTTTTAATTCTAGAAGGTGCAACCACTTCGTTTTAGGAATACGGCATCTTGATGTAAATAAGGGTGGGTAACAGTTCGCTGGATGGAATCTCTTTGGTCTATGAGGTAAGTCCATCCAATCTTTGGTAAAATCAAGTTTCATCCTGATTAGTCCTGAAGGATCATACACTATGACTTTGATGTCTGTGACCATTGGATCATTTTTTTTTCGACCAGGTCTAATGCTATTGTATCTCAAAGGTTATGGTGTAGTCTTTAAAAAAGTCGTAAGTCAGCTCAATAACCTTGTATGGTGATGGATTTTTTTGTGCTTCGGTTATTGTTACGGTTTTGTGCTGTACATCCATCAGAAAATATTACAACTGGTTTTTTATCAGAAGTGAGACATTTTTTTCTAAATAGTCAATCAAGCATGATACGAATGTTGATGCAACTAGTTGATTGTTTTGATCCTCTGAAAACCAATAACATGTAGCTTGCTTTTTTACAATATCGTAAATTATCGAGTTACGACAAGCTAGCTTTGTTTTGTAATAAAAAGCATTAGCGTGGGTAAATGGAGCTAGCTTTACAGCTTGAAAATCTACTTCTATTAAAATAATTTTTCCCTCAATAGCTTTCTTTATATCCTCGCGTTTTTCCGTTCTAGCTATCTCTTTATTCGCTGTATGCTCCTTCCAAACTTCTTCTTGTACATTTTTAGTTTCATAACCGGCGCATAAGTTGCACTTATCTTTTTTTACACTAAATAATGAAAATTTTTTTTCAACCATAACTTCACAAAATTTTTTGCAGATGAAGGACGGTTGCAATGCCTGAGTATACTTGTATTGTTTGAAAAACGGGTTCTAGATAGAGTTTTGTTGAATTCTGTCTATTGTATTTTCGGCATTTTTGGAAGATTATCGAAAAAGTTATTTAGATACTAGATTTCTGATAAAAGGTTATTATTTGGTGTGATTTTTTTATCCTTTGAAGTCATAGGTGTTCCATGCGAGCTCTCACTTACTCATGCTTGAACCATTCTATACCCAATACCAACCGTATTTATAAACGTTTCTCGACAAACCTGATAGCTCTCTTGTCCATTATTCAAACTATATTTGAGACTATAGTTGCGTCGAGAAACACTGTCAGTAGTATTAGCTTTCGTTGGAACAATAGAAACCGATCCACACACAAATGATTTGCGTTCTCCCCAAGTCAAACTCCAAAATCGGTCATAAATCGTTTTCCTCTGCTCTTCCGTAAATAATGAACAATGACATTTTTTAGACTTTAAACAAACATTATTAGAACATGTTGGCTTCATTATTCGTTTTCTCTTGGTGTATCTTCTACGACAGTTTTTCCATTTTTTTTAAACTTAAGTAACCTTTTCCTTCCATTCGCAGTTTTTTGTTGATGTTTCTCTTCCACTCAGCCTGCTCAGCTTCTTTCTTCTTTTCCTTCCTTCACACATATTATAATTATTGGGGTCATTCTCTGAAAATCTTCCTTGCACGTTTTCCGTTACTTGACCTGCACTATTTTCTACGGTATCATTTGTCGCTAAAATTGATGGTGACTAAAATTCTTCGCTTGATGGTAGTGTGTTTCGAAGTGCGTTCAGTGGCGTATTTGGAGACGAACTTAATGACGGGCTGAGTGACATGTTTGGTTTATCTGAACAGGCTTCATCGTATATGTAATCGTCATCTATGTTATGTTGAAAATCGAGTATGGCTGACTGGTAGGATGGCGAAGGAACCTACCGTGGAGATAAATAATCTGCAGGTAGAGAATCATAGTGTCCATATTTGGGTTAAAATGTATGTCCTCAGTATAACAGGTGTCTTCCGTAAGTACTATTAAAGGGAGTGTTTCTTGCTTGTTAGACATGGTAAAAGGGCTTGTTTCTTGCTGGTTAGACATGGTAAAAGGTACTGTATTTTTCCGGCTAGACATATTCGTATGTTCAAAACCTGTGATGATATCCTAAAATGTACTAAAGAAACCTATTAGATATAAAATAAGCCAATACCTCAGCAGATTTAGTTACGTACTAACACATTATTTATTTATTTCGTCACTTTCGTTTATTTTTTTTGTTAAGTTTTATTATAAATACAGATAAAAACCTCAAACTTTAGCATTTTCTTTATTTTTATCGCCATTAAGTACTTCCTGTACCAAGCGCTTACCACGTCTCAGCTTATTATACTCCTAAAAAGAGTAGGTATAGGTAAAAGTAGTATCTAAAATGGTAGCAGAGCAGCGTATATCAAGACTGATAAATCGTTTGAAATTACAAATGATCTCCACGATTGTTTATGCTATAATAAACCCAACCAAGCAAGTGGCTAGTTAGTCAAGAGGCGGGTAGGTAGTAATAACCACATTCTGCAATTCTTATCCCGCAAGCCTATACGACGCGGCGGTTAAAGGGCAAGCAGTCCATGCTAATGGCACTTGAATAATACAGTAATATCATAAAATTTTGTTAGATGCCTACTTATAGCGGAACCGTGGATCTTAAAAGCATGTAATTCATCGTATACCTATATAAAGGTAAATCTAGCGAAGTTTTTTTTGGTTGATGTTATCCTTAGTTGAATAGAAACACAAAGTACTATCTCTCAGTCATTCCAATCTGCTAAAACTTTTAACATCGATGCATAATGTACTATCTCGATTTATAGATTATTAACGTAGAAATATTGAATATTAATGATTAGTTTATAATGAAAACATACCATTTCAGCTACTAATAGTCCCCAATAATGATAACTAATAACTTATGGCACAGAAACCTAATCAATTCACATAAAACAGTTATTTGTTTCAAGAGCGCGCGAAATCGCGTTCATGTCCGTACACTTTTAGCGAGATAGTACTAAATGCTCGCATTTCACTGCGCGTCGAAGTTAGTACAATTTGAATGAAGTCGATTCTGGCGCCAAATTTTAACGTATTTGAGATGGGATTTATTGCAGCGTTGCGGAGTATGAAATAGTATAAAATTACATCAAAAAGTGAAATCGTCAAAAAATTGAGATAGGACCGGTTGCCAGTTCACAGTCGATATATTTACGTGATGGGGTTGTAAACATTTTTGGTAATATAAAAGCAAAACATAAATTTTAAGCCATGCTTTATCTTCTACAAAAGGATAACAAATCATTCTCGAATCTTGTATTATTTGTTCAAATTATATAATACAATATTTGCCTGCAGTTTAGCAGTAATTACTAATTACTGATATGATCTGTTCACACATTCATCCGACATGACTAAATGAGATTTTATTTTCTACGGATTTAACTGATTTTTGCCTATTGATAAGTCAAAAAAGCATTTAAATCCGTCCAAAATAAAACCATTGTCTTGCATGCTATACTTAGATGAGAATAGGCCTATAACTTACTACCGTTATTTTTTTCTTACAAAAAAAAAAAAAAAAAGATAAATCACAACAACAAAAGTCTTCTTAATTATTTATGTAAAATTAAATTATTAAAAGTTATATGGTTGCAATTTACCCGTTATTACGTTTAGCTTTAATTTCTTACAAAAAAATAACAAGTGACTAAAGTCTAGTCTTAGTTTTTTTTTATAAAAATATATACTATTACAAACTTATCACAATTATTGTCTATAAAATCCGTAAAAAACGTAAACAAGAAAACAATACAATCTCTTTCCTTAATCATACACCCAGCCGTAAATGTAACAATTCACTTAAATCAACAGTCTTTTTATTAAGATTTTTTTTCAAATAAAAGATTAATAGTATTACTTATCACAATTATTGTCTATAAAATCCATAAAAAACGTAAACAAAACAACAATGCAATCTCTTTCCTTAATCATACACATAGCCGTAAATTTAACGAATCACTAAAATCAACACTTTGTTTATTTTTAAAATATATCTCATCTTCAATATTACATAAGTAATATTGTTTTGCATTATCAGTCTTTATTTCTATCTTTTTAACTATTGACAGTGTGGGTACATCATCACGGTCTTTTCTCTTGGTCATTCTAAAAACTAGTTGTGGTTTCCTCACAGTTTTTAAGAAATCTATATCTCTATATCTATATATATCTCTCTATATATCTATAGAATAGTATATTTCTTTATCCACTTCTTTGATATTCTCTATCAATCCAATGTAATAGCTCTACTTTTGTCTCACGTGGTATCTCACAAGCACGAAATCATTTATGCTATATGTGTGCTGTAAGGTGCTCTTTTCACTAGGATTTTCTTGATTTACAATGTTGTCTTTTGAAGTACAATTTACTTTAGTATCGAAGTCATCGTCGTTCAGTGTTTTAATGCTCATGTTCGAATCTCTAAATATGTTCATTTTATCAGAAACAATAGTTGTTAAGTCAATTGATGACAGGCGGTTTCGTTTTGCATTTCTGTTCATGCCCGTCTTTCCTGTTGAAGTAGTTGGACCAGAAAGTGAAGTATCTCCTTTTGGTGTCATTTCTACATGAGATGCAGAAACCGAATTTTCTTTTCAATTTCAGGATCACCTAGCGTGGTGGTAAAATATTCGTCACCCGTAACGTCAGCTGTCGATTCGTTAGAAGCCATTTTCCTTGTGTTTTCTTTTTTTCTTTTTTGTTTAGGTTAGTCATCTTTAGTTGGTTTTTTCTCATAGTCGTATTTTTCTTTATTTGAGGTTCTTTTTTTATATTTTCAGGAGCTATTTTTTGTTCTTTACCTTTTGTATTAACCCGGCGAATATGTGGAGGGGTCAGTTTGACCCTAACAAATTTAAATCGGCTAGATTTTATATTTCGCGCGGGCGCACGTTTTCGAATGTCTCAGTAGCTGTCACGAATAGACCACAGCGCACCCCGCACGCCTCTATTTAGTCGGCCGTCGTCTGCGATGGGAGTTGGACGTGCGCAAAGCGAATAAGGGTGAATATGACCCCGCGACAATCGCGACGTAACATTTTTTTTACGATTTTTTATTTTTGTTTTATTTGAATATTGTTGTGTTTGTAGGTATTTTTGATTAAAATGAGTCGGCAAGAAAATCGAGATGAGTGGATACGTCAAAAATTGATGGAATCAGACAGCGAAAATGAGTTCCTGTTAGAAAGCAGTGAAAATGAAGATCATTTGAGTGTACGCAGTTGCGGTAGTGATACTGAACAGAACATAAGCAGTGAATATGACAGCGAAGATGACGTTCCGATATCGAGCTTGCGAAGCCAGAATCAAATTCTGCTTGAAGAAGAGGAATTAGATGCCCAGGTGAGGGATTCGTTTTATAATGGTAAAGATGGCTCCAAGTGGTTCAAAAATCCGCCTTCACGGCAAGTTCGGACGCGCTCAGAAAATATTATCAGACAAACACCTGGTGTGAGCGCAGAAGCAAGATTAGCACAGAACTTGAATGCTGGAGCTTGTTTTGTCCCGAAAATATGATTTCCATTATCCTGACTCACACAAATCTACAAATTCGAGAGAGAAATGCTAGTCGTGAAAACATTCCTCACTTCATGATAGAATTAGAAATGAGTGAATTGAAGGCTTTCATCGGTTTATTGTATATTGCCGGATTTTATCGCTCTGGAAGGCAAAATACTGCAGATCTGTGGGCTTCCGATGGTACAGGAGTCGAAATATTTCGGTTGACAATGTCACGTCAACGATTTCATTTTATTCAGAGCTGTCTCCGTTTTGATGATAAATCTACACGTGAAGAAAGAAAACTATTGGACAACTTAGCTCCTATACGTGAAATATTCGAGCTGTTCGTTGAGAACTGTAAGAAATCATACCGTCTTGGGCGAATATGTCACCATTGACGAAATGTTGCTGGCATTTAGAGGAAGGTGCAAATTTAGACAATACATACCATCCAAGCCTGCAAAATATGGCATAAAGGTCTTAGCAATGGTTGACGCGCAAAATTTTTACATTTTCAACCTCGAAATTTATGCAGGAAAGCAGCCAGAAGGACCATTTTCCGTAAGCAATAAACCTTTTGACGTGGTGAATCGTCTAGTGCTGCCCATTTCAAAAACTGGGCGGAATGTTACTTTTGACAATTGGTTTACCAGTTATGAACTTGTGTCACATCTACTCAACGAGCACAAGCTGACTTCCGTGGGCACAGTGCGGAAAAACAAGAGAGTACTCTCGAACAAGTTCTTGAAAACGAGCGATCGTGATGCAGATGTTTATTCATCGAAGTTCGGCTTTCAAAAAGATATAACTCTGGTATCCTACATACCAAAGAAGAAAAAAGTTGTTCTGTTCATATCAAGTCTCCATCACGACGCTGATATTGACGAAACTACTGGAGAGAGAAAAAAAACCAGAAATAAACACATTCTATAACTCCACTAAAGGAGGAGTAGACGTTGCAGATGAGTTGTCCGCAACTTATGATGTAAGCCGCAACTCCAAAAAATGGCCTCTGACTGTGTTCTATGCAATTTTGAATATGGCAGGGATCAATGCAAATATTGTATTCAAATGTAATACAAATTCAACCCAAAAACGCCGTAATTTTATCAAAACTTTGGGCCGTATGATGGTAGCCGAACATATGAGTGCTCGAAAAGAAATACCTCAGTTGTCCAGCCAGCTATCTCTAAATAATGAGAGAATTTGGAGGAGAATCTGCTCAGGAGACGCCTGTAAGGGTCCCAGGTGTATGAAAAAGGTGCCAAGTGTGTCCTTATGCCAGACATCGAAAGACGAGCAATGTCTGCGAAGATTGTCATAAGTACATTTGTCCAGAACACACAGTTTCTTTTTGCCAAGAATGTGCTGCAATAACTGACAATAATATTGAGTAACTATAAGTTTTTTTTATTTTATTTTATGTGAAACTGATTGATCTTATTGTTGATTACCAAATTATCTTAGTTAGTTTGTTTTTTTACTTCTATTTTATGTTACGTTGTTTTATGTACGTAAGTGTTGAAAAAACTTGTTTGATTTTTAAGTATTATAAAAGTGTGAATAATAACAAAGTTTTGTACCAATATTGATGTTTATTTTTATTTACATGGTAAAAGAAATGTCTATTTCCTTTCATTATTATGTAAAAGTCACAAAAAAGTCAAACAATTTCGAAAACAATGCAATTAAAATACAGGGTCATAGATACCCTCCGCAACCTCCATGTAATTATTTTCACCACATTCTCGCCGGGTTAAGACGTAAGATGTCATTGTTACTAGGATTTTCTTGATTCACAATGTTATTTTCTGCAATAAAATTGACTTCATTATCGAACTCATCGTCAAACAGTGTTGTAATGCTGATGTTCGTATCGCTATATATACTCATTATATCAGAAATACTAGTTATAGAATCAATTGATGGTGGGCAGTTTCGTTTAATTTTTTTTTCATGCCTGTCTTTCCTGTTAAAGTAGATGGACCATAAAATGAAGTATCTCGCTTTGGTGTCATATCTGCATCTTCATCACTCATAATGTCAGGTGTCATTTCGTTGGATGGTACTTTTCTTTGTGTTTTCTTATGTTCTTTTTTCTTTAAGTTGTTAGTCTTTGGTTGCTTTTTTATCATTGTCACATTTTTATTTGTCTGCGGTTCTTTCTTTATATTTTTTATTTTTTCTTCCATTTTACACTTGACAACATCATCATGTGTTATAACTTCAGCTCCTGGAGCAATTTTTTGTCGTTTAAATTTTTCATTAGCTCCAGCTTTAACTTGCATCAAAAGTAGTTCTTCAAAAGTTATTAGTCTGTTTTCTAATATTTGAATTCTATTACTGCTACTTTCAACTCTTTTCAAATCCTTATTGGACACGAAAGGTTCTTGTTCCAGTTTTTGATGAGATTCTTCTCCTAGAAATTGGTTTTCTTTTAAACTTTTGGCATCCTTTTTCTCTAAATCGTCATTCTGAATGCCGTTATCAGTTTTAATGTTAGAATTTATACCAAATAATTTTATGGTGCAACTGAAGGCTAATGAAAGCAGGCTTTGTGGCTCATTTGTTGTAGCAACATATAAAAAGTCGCCACAAACGAGGCTTTCTGGAATATTGTGGTCATATTCATTTCTTTCTATGTGGTAGAGCCATGCTGCAGTTATATTAGTAGTATAGTTGTAGCACAAATGGGTCGGCTCGACCGGGGAAGGACCACGCTCTCACAGAATACCAGCGTGAAAAAGTAGCTTAATGCTGCTGTATTTCGTATGGTGAGTGTAGAGAACCGGAGACCCTTTTTACTGGAAATGAGGCATTCCATCTCAGTCCTCACGGGTGACAACGCATCTGCATTTTGATTTGTAATGGAAGATAGATGTAGATGTCTATGGGCCGCAGCAACCACTTACCATCAGGTGGACTGTGTGCTCGTTTGTCAGCCTATTCTATAAAAAACAAAAAAAAATTTCTTGGGACTTAGGAACTTGGAATTCTTTCCAAAGCCTTAGCTTTAACGGATCAAATAGGCTTTCTTTGATTTCTTCAGAATTGAATGGATAAATTCCAGTCTTACGGAAGCCATTTCTTAAAACTTGACTGTCAATTTGATCCCAAACCACTCCAATTAACCTTGCAAACTCTTTCTGTGGCAGTTTCACTCCGACATTTGAATGCTGCCATTTTACGAACATTGGATCCCACTGATCTTTAAATGATTTCATGACAGCTACATCTAGTGGTTGTAATATGCGACTAGTATGCGGAGGTAGCTTAAGTATTGTTATACCTGCTTCACGCGCTTCCTCGATTATGTTTAATCCCACATGAGTAGCATGTCCGTCATAAATAAGAAGAATCGGACGTTGAGCTCCATCAGCTGGTAAAAATACTTTTTTAAAATACTTTTCGAAGACTTCGGTCTCCATCCAACCTTTTTTTGTGGCAGTGTAGGATGTGCCAGGATAAGCATCCGGAGATGTCCACACGTTTTTGCCCTTAATAATGATTAATGGGGGTATTTTTGATCCCAGCGCACTGGCGCCAAGCAATACAGTAGTGTTTTCTCTACCAGGCCAAGAAATTACTCTCTTAGCGGCGTGTCCTTTCGCGCCAACAATTTTTGATTTCTCGGGATCACTCGAAAAACTAGTTTCGTCTAAATTCCAAATGGCTGGTTGTCCAATGGTTTGTCCAACAAATTTAATTATTTCAATTTATTATTAAGCAATTAAAAATATGGATAAACTATAAATGGGTCTATGGCTTTATTACGCGCGTATTCGATAGCCTGGGGTTTCTTCACTGACAAATGGTGTCGTTCTTTGAACGCAGTAAACCACGCCTGACCTGGAGTTCCATTTTTGAAAGGCATCGGTACGAGATTACGGCTTACATATTCGCCAACCATTTCTAGGACTTCTTTTCTTGTCAAGCCAAAACTATATTTTTCTATTGAACGTAGTAACGAAGCTAATTTTGTTTCAACTTCCAAAGTCAGTGCAGTGCTTCTACCAAGAGAATTTGATTTAAATCTCCTGTTTTTCACATGGTCCATAATAGTCATGCGAGGGATATTATAAATTTGCGCAGCTTTATAGCCACTCAGATGGCCATTTTTAACAGCTTGTGCTGCCTCTCGTAACTTTTCTTTCGAATATGATCCTTTGTTAGTTTTTCTTTTGTAATTGCTTACCACGATTGCTTGCAAAGATTACTGGAAAAAATATGATTGCTCTGTTAAAAATTAATTACCGACTGGCCATCTTAATGTAAATTAAGGATTTAAGAAAACGTATACATGCTAGGTAAAAAAGGTTGACGATATGTGCTTCGAGGCAAGACCGGCATATGACGGGCTTACCTCATGGGTCTTATACGGTCTTCCCAACTATTGTATTTTAAGGTTAGATATTTACTACACTTAAAAAGAAATATATAGAAGGCCTATTTAACTACTTACATTACTGCACTCGACTCTTTGAATTCGTTTGATTTAGCACTTTTTTTTCGCAACACATGTCACTTGAGATTGGAGTTCACAACACGACTTAAACAGGAAGTGAATTTTCTACCGCAGATTTACTTATAGCGACATCTATGATTTCCAATTCGAACTAAACCATTATACTGTTTTACTGATAGGGAGATGGGCTCCATAGATAACCAAAAACCAGAGTAACGACGTGTAGACTGAGTTGCCTTGTATACGGTCTTGCCCACATTGACCTTATGCATAAATACATATTTCAAAAGATAGGGCAATAACTAAGCATGTGTTAAAGAAGGTTTGAACAACAAAGGCTATTTTTTATATTTATGATGGCATAAACACAACATTTCCTTAATTTGTTTTGGATTCTTAAGCTTAAATATGCATAGAATGTTTTTCTGATGATGAAGATGCTTGGAAATTATGTCGTTTGAGTTGTTGAGATTTGTTCACAAATTACATAAATAAAAATAAGAACATGACAACTGTTACTGGACATTATTAGCAATAAATTGAAAAAAAAAAGGGTTTTATTGTTAAAAACCTTAGAAATACAATTAATTAAAAAAGGAGCAGACTTCATCTAAGACAAGTGTAACATTTTTTTGTTTTATTTGTTTATTTATGTTCTAAATGGTTTAAGGTATCATCCCCTTCAGGCTTTGCACCCAACTTCCAAACACCCTATAATGGTTAAATTTCATAATCCTTACCCTTTATGTACAAGAAACCAGCAAAATTACATAAAACAATTTTGAATGAGATTCATAATATTATAAAAGTAGAATTTAATATTTATAAAGTAGAATTAAATAACTACATTCATAATAATCAGGTATGTACAAGTTTTATATATAGCTGGCACACAAAATTAAAATATCATTTTTTACATTAGTGCCTGCCAGTATTGGAAAACCTTTCCATACAGGCCCGAATGATTGGCACCCAAAAAGAAAAATGGACATGCACTTGATGGGATAAGAGGCAAGCATGATAAGAAAGATGCTCTAATAGATTACAGATATCAAAGCATCCAAGAGATTATAGTTTACCATAATTTTCTATATTATGTAACATACCCAAACTACCAGACCAGCATCAAAGATATCTGGTACTGTGTCTACAAATCTACCATAACACATAGTGTGATTATGGCAAATCCTGTCTACAATGTAGAGGTCCAAGCTTTAAAAAGTATTACTGGGTGGTAAATAAGTTTCTACAGTTAAGTATTATCATAGAGGTTGTACACACATACACAATAATACAACTTACTTCACATTGATTATAAAATTCACTTTTATACTGATCCAAGGAAACTCATTTCATAATTTTTACATACTTTAAATAAAGTAAGATATTTTACCTCCTGAAATAAATGAGATTTTGAGACTTCATCTAGTTTACTTTTGTCAATTACTTTAACAGCAACTTTTTCACCCGTGAAAACATGTCTTGCTGATTTCACAACAGCAAAATGCCCAGAACCCAGTGTATCAAGTAAGTCATATAATCCAGCTATTTTTGCATCATATGGACCACCTCCTGTGGCCATTGCACTTCCTCCAGATCCACAGTTATTCATTGTACCTCTGAAAATGGATGTTTTTTAAAGGTTGTCACAGAAGATAAAACTTTAAGATCTTCATAAGTTTAAAAAATTCAGGCTTTTTACTGGCAATTCATTCTCGTGATACATATAGGTAATTCAAGCAGTGAAGTATTTATTACCCGTACCTTACATAGTAAGTACTTGATAAAATATTTTGATCGGATGAATATAAAATATCTGAACTAAAATATTTCTTACCATAAATAGAAAAAAAAAACAGTGACTATAATCTAGAAAAACTTACGTGGAAACAATCTATAAATTAAAAAATTGACTAGAAATCCAGTACAACGAAATGCAATCGAGTCAGAAAGATTCATAGGAGACACTAGAATACAAATAAGTCACTTAAAATAAATAACGATAAAAGTTGTAAACAGACTCACAACATAGCATTATTTTAGTTATAAAATTGGAAATATCGAACGAAAAATAGATGTTCGAAGAGCCTCAATCTCGCCATTTCTCAAAATTAGTTCAGAAACAATATGTACATAAGTGGAATATCTTATTTATATATATAAAAAATTAAAAGGTCAACTCAACGAAATTAGATTTGTTTATTTAAAATATATAAAAACTAAATTTTTTTTATTAAAATATAAACCCTTAATATTTCTGAACGTCACATAACCATCATATAGCAACACGGGCCACCGGCGGCGGATCCGTAGACAGAGAAACCTATAGAGTATAGACTAATGATCGGCGTGGCCTCGAGTGAGAAAGGACGATACCTAACGAATTTTTAGGTTATACAATAATCTTTAAACTTTTAAACACATTTAGATAAAAATTTTAATTGTTCTAAGAACTGAACTGAACAAGATTCACCAATCTTAAGCTCACAAAACAGTTTTTTCTCACTTAAACCAACATGTAAACTCCTTAAATCGCTACGCTGTTAAAGTTGTTTAGCAAACTGTAGAGTTTGCTAAACAAAAAAATCGGCACGGAGAAAGGGACAAACAATCACATCGCTCTATCTCATTTCTATTGACACGAAAAAGATAGATTTAAGCAAAACGTATGCATAAATCTATATTTTTCGTGTGCGAATGCGAAAGAAGTCGTCAATTTGTCTATAGGTTTCTCTGTCTACGGGCGGATCGAAGGGTAAAGATATTATTATAGTTTTAAATATAATATCTTTGGGTAGTTTACTTGAATTGCTTAACCGTGAGCAATTTCACTTCTTCTGGGCGGAGTACATAGTTTCCTAGATGAGTGTTACGTTTGCGCATTAAGGATTCGCAATCAGTTAAGATGTGCACAGGCTTTTCTTTCGTAATGGAACCTTGAGTTGCTTAGTCCCAGGATGAACATGTGCTTTTTAAGACAACAATGTCGAGTTAGGGCTCTTGCCCGAATGCGCAAATTATTTTTACTTAATCCCAGGACTTCTGAAGCGAACTTACGATCAAAAACCCGGATCTAGATTTTAGAATGTTTTAAGCCTAGTGTTTCAACTCAGACCAGATCTTAAGTGATTTATTGTGATGAAGAGTTTCAAGGGTCAATCGGGCTAGGCTTCTTGAGATTAAACAAAATAGCTCAGTTCCAAGTCGTGTACTCTTTGAGCCCTCCAAGTGAGCAAGTTTGTCGGCAAATCCATTGCCTACAATACCTGCGTGACCCGGAACATATCTTAAGACGACCCTGTTATTACACCCGAGGGCGTCTAAATGATTCACGCAATCTCCAACTAGCTTCAAGTTCAATAAGTTTGACCTCAGCGCTAGCAGTGCTGCTTGAATTTCAGAGTTTATATAAATTATATGTTTGACGTAGTGTTTTTGCAGATTGATTTCCGAACACTGAAGTATGGCGAATATTTCTGCCTGGGCGTTCCCCCTTAATTCCTAAGCCTACGTCAAGGCCCATTTTAGACCCATCGGTATACCATATGAGGCTACCGAACTCTCAGATAACCTGGCCATTCAGCCAGTTTTCTTTGGCGGGTAGTTCCACTACATACTTTTTATCAAAAGTGTATAGTGGACGCATGATATATGAGATCATGCATATGACCGGTATTTCCCTCATTGAGTCGAGCATGGACCTCAATCCGCAGGAGAGCAAGCTCAGACCGTCATGGGCGTTAATCCTATACAAACTAGCCTTCGCCTACTTGTCTAGATAAAGATCAAGGGGCGTTAGGCATAGAAGTGCATTAAGAGCTGATCCAGGCGATGATCACATAGCTACACTTGCCATTAAGCAGGCAGTCTTTGTAGACTATTTAGTCAGTCTACAGTCGCCTTTTGGTTGGCCTTGTTGCACCAGAGAGTGGAGGCGTAGGTGAGGATCGGCCTCACTATGTTGCTGTACATCCTTTGGACCATACTGGGACTCAAGACCCAGTTGTTCCCAAACAAACGACTGCACGCACCTAAAGCAATTTTTGCATTAAGGCATACGTTGCTAAGGTGAGAGTTTTACGTTTTTGGTCGATTGTTGCGCCCAAGTACTTGACTTCAATGGAAAATTGAACTTATTTACCAATTTACCATTTAGTTTTGGTGTAACAATTTGTCAATAAGGGTATTATAACAGTTTTATCAGCATTAACCGATAAACTGTTATACCTACACCGGTTATTTATGGTGTTTAGGGCTCTTTGTATGATTGACGATAAAGTACTTTGGCAAAAGCCCCTCGCAATGATCACAAGGTCATCAGCATCACCCAGTGTGTCAATGGGTAGGTCTGCTATCTTGTACAATAGTTGGTCAACCGCAAGAGTCTAAAGAAGGAGTGACATAACACCTCCTTGTGGGCAGCATCTTGTAGTTGCAACCTCAATCAAAGTTTGAAACAGCACTATTTTTGCCTTTCTGTTTGAGAGCATAGATTTCACTCATCTGATGGTTGTGGGGTCAACGTTTTTAGATGTCAGACTCCCAAAACAGCAGTGATGTGGGGCTACCGTCGAAGGCGCCCTCAATATCTAGAAAGGCAAAAAGAGCTATTTATTTATCCTCCAGTGCTTTTTCGACCCTGTCAATAACGATAGATTTGCCTCTGCGGTAAGCATGCTGCTTGTAATATATAGGCCTCGTAGCTAAAGCTATATCCCTTTTATATCTATCAATGACCTTTTCCAATGTCTTAAGAAGAAAGGAAGATAGACTTATAGGTGTAAAAGAAATTTGGTAAAGTTCAGTCCTTTCTTACTCTGAAGATTTTCACCACATAGGGAAGTAGGATATCAATACATCTCTGTAGGTGGATGGGAATTATTCCATCCTCCCCACTTGTTTTAATTGGTTTAAAGTTTGGTTTAAAGAGTCAACAGCCCACTGCACCAGGTTTGGACTTATTAGCTTTGGAGCCCTACACCAGTCCTAATTACAAGGCCTTCGTAGGGCTCCGAAAATCATTTTTTTTCTTATTTCTCAGACATGTAGGTTTCGTCACGATGTTTTCCTTCACCGCCGAGCACGTGGCCAAACACGTGGTAAAACAGATGAACAGAAACAGAGAGATGCGATCCAGGCTAGCGATGCGAAGCAAGAGCGGTGCGTGACGACTTCTCACACTATGTGAGGCGGTTTCTTCTGGAGTGCGACTGCCCCAGGTGGTGCGGTCGAAACTAGCAGCGCGAGGCAAGAGGCTGCCCGAGGGCAGCGCGCGTACCTTTATTGGCTCGGCTTTCCCACAAATTAATTTCGATAAGGCGCACGTTTATTGGTTGAAAGAATCGCGTCACCTTTTAGACTCCCCTCTCCCTTCAGTGTGTATGGAAGGGATATGATAATACAGGAAGGACAGACACTTGACGAGCAATATACGCTCGAACAACATTAAAATACACAAATCATTTCCGCGTAACCAGTATTACATCAAGTGAATTGGCATTTGTGTAATGAGTGATGGTTATAACATATCAGTATTGTACACTATATTTTTTGTTTTGATATCATTATTTATAAAAACATAACATTAATATAAAATTAATAAACAACTTCATTAATTAACATTAAATACATTATTAAGACGATTTATACTATTCTAAAATATAAAACGCTGCATGGGCCTCCATTTTAACATGTTGTATCGTTCTTGCAGATCGGAGCATCAAGGTCGTAGTAGACGGTGCACGCTCCGATTACAAGCCCATTAACGCTGGTGTTACACAAGGTTGCCTTCTAGTACTGACGCTGTTTCTTCTGCATATCAATGACATGTTGCAAACCGGTAACATTCATTGCTATGCAGACGACAGCACTGGTCATGCATTATACACCGGCCGTGCCAATATTTCTCGGGAGAACGTTGCAGAGTATCAGTACAAACTTGTGTCTGAAGTCGAAACTTTGTTGAACAAGGTCTCAGACTGTGGGCTACTAAATCTAGTCCAGTTTAATCCCCAAAAGACACAAGTTTGAGCGTTTACCGCTAAAAAAAACTCCCTTCGTCGTATCTCCTCAGTTTCAAGGCACTCCCTTTGTTGCCTCAGCCAGTATTGGAATGCAGGCCGTCGACATATCGAGTGACGTGCAGTTTCGTGGTCACTTGGAAGAGAAGGCCAAATTGGCCTCTAAAAAGCTTGGCGTGCTCAGCAGAGCGGGACAGTATTTCATGACGGCTCACCGCCTGCTACTTTAGAAGGCGCAGTTTCGGCCGCTCATGGAATACTGTTCTCATCTCTGGTCCGGGGCTCCTCAGTGCAGTTTGTTAGCATCCAGCGCAGAGCTGCCGAATCGTCGGCGACCGAGCTCTTTCCGATCGGTTTGACTCACTGGCACTGGTATTTTATCGCATCTACCACGGGGAGTGCTCTGAGAAATTATTTGGACTAATTCCAGCCGCACAATTTCACCATCGCACATCGCGACAAAACTCACAATATCATCCATACCATCTGGATGACTGGTGGTCCTCTAATGTGCGATTTAAAAGAAGTTTCCTTCCTCGCACAACTTCCTTAAGGAATCAACTACCACCAGAGATTTTTCCGGACCGTTACGACTTAGGGACCTTTAAGAAAAGAGCCTACTCCTTTTTAAAAGGCTGGCAACGCATCTGCAATTCCACTGCTGGCCCTGTGAGAATGGTCGCCACAATTATATTCTCCCGCAACTCTTTTATAAGCAGCGTTATGCCATTACACATGTTGGGGGGGGGGCTCAAGTTTCTTAATAGCATGATAGGAATGCCAACTTTTAACATACGCTCATCAGGAGGTAAGGCAGAAGGGCTCAAAGAATTTAAAAATTCTTGAGGAGTGCACTGTATCCTCAATATTACACACCTTATCAATGGACTTATAGTGTTTGACTTGACCGGGAATTTTCTCTAAAATCAGTTTATTTATCTCATTCACTGTATCGTTTCTAGGACACATTATTGCCCTGGAACAAAGCCAACGATAATCTCTTTCCAATAAAATTTTAATACCGTGATAAATAGCGTCTATCAGATGTTCTAACCTATGTAATATGTGACCTAATCTATCAAGTTTAATGTCATCGCTATGTACTATAGTACTGTTGGTGCTAGTACAGCTAATTTTCCCTTCTCCAAGATTTAGTAGTTGATGCGGAAAGTCGCTATCGTAGTTGACGCTCAAATGAGCTCTCATTTTTGTTCGTAAATTGAGAGTTTCAACGAAACTCCGTAAGTAAGATGATTTTAAGCATGCCTTAATAACATCGGCGCGTGTTCCTTTTGTTATTACAGGCAGTGTTTGCCGAAAATCAGCCGAAAAAAAAAGTAACACCACCCATAACAGCATCTGAGTTTCTGAAGTATTTTTGCGTTCAGTTTACTGCTTCAACATGAGTTTTATGACTCATGGTACATTCGTCCCAAATAATTAAAGATGTCTCTTGTAACAGTTTCCCGAGCGGTCCATTTTTACGTATGGAGCATACTGAATTTTGTTCCAATGATACTGTCAGTGGTTGCTTAAAAGTGGAGTGTGCTGTTTTCCCATCATTAAATAGAGTTGTGGCAATCCCTGAAGAGGCAACAGCTAGCCCATTTTTTTCCGGATTGTCTGACTTTTGCCAATACCAAATTTGCGAGGAACGTTTTCCCAGTGCCTCCTGGGGCACCTAGAAAAATATTTTACCCCTGTTATTTATCACACTATCAATAATACCATCAAAAGCTTTTGACTAGAGAAAAAAGAAAGGACATGACATACCTACGAAAAAAACGTGTATACCTAAATTGATTGACGTAGTGTTGCGCACTATATTTAATATCGATAATGTGGTGCTTATTTGAAAAAAGATTCTTTTCCTCAAACAGGTGTTCTTAGATAGGTTTTTTTTAAATCGATATGACGGATGACAAATTGTAAGTCCTTAATTTTTTTTTTACTCAACCTATCGATAGGGATATCAAAATAAAGGAAATTAAAAGGACATTACTGAAATATATATGTTATACCTATGTTTTCAGTTCATTACTTTTAAGTAGTCATTTTGTTTTGCTTTTATAATATAACTATCTATTATTAATGTTACAATTATTTCTCAGGAATTACTTAACAAGAAATACTAATTAAAGAATTTTTGTTCGTTCGTTAGACAATAAATTAGGCTCAGTCATCACACTCACACTAATCAAATTATAATAAATGCAAAAGTTTGAATTTTTTTTATAGGATAGGGTGACAAACGAGCACACAGTCCACCTGATGGTAAGTGGTTGCTGTGGCCCATAGACATCTACATCTATCCTCGATTACGAATCAAAATGCACATGCGTTGTCACCCGTGAGGACTAAGATGGAATGCCTCGTTTCCAGTAAAAAGGGCCTCTGGAATTTTTGTTTGTTCCTCAATTACGCCAAAAGTATCAGACCAGTTTAAATGTAATAATTTGGCACACAAATAGTTTATTACCTGAATTAATATATAGGATTAGAGGTCCCGAGAGATAGAATAAGACGTTACCTCGAGCAGACGCTACTTCATTATAAAACTGAAACTTCCATTTAAAAAAGATTTATTACAAATATAAATTATTCGCACTTACTCATTACGAAATAATATATTTATATTAAAATAATTTCGAAATGAAATTTTTTCTGTGATTTTCTTTCCAAAGTATTTAAACCTCAGATCATAGGTTTGGACTATGGATTTAATAAGTAAAAGTTTATGTGTCGTGTCATGTTCGCAGTTTGATTTAAACAAATTCGCTTCATCAAAATGTTCCATTAAAAATCTGAACACATGGATGTAATATTGCTCAGATCGCAGTTGTTTCTGAAAAATACCATTTAAGATTTTTTCCACTTTAATTAGAGTGCGCTTCACGTCTGTTGATGGGTAAATCAGCCCACTCCTGTTCTTTAAAGTTATTAAACTTTTTTGATAGTCTTCGTGATCGCCAAACAACAAATTTGCGCAAATATCGCATTTTATAAACCATGCCAACTTTCTTGATACAAAACCAGCAATATAAGTAACTACGCTGACGGAATAGTTGGGTAGGTTGTTGTACATGCAATGAATAAATTCTTCGTTCACTATCATCCTCAGGCAATTCAATAAATGAATTTCTTTCTGTCAAATCGTTTATGGCCGTGACTGCGTTAGTCTTACAAGAGCATGTTAGTATATCAATTTGTTCCAGGGGTACGCAGTTATCAAGGCCCGCACCCCTAATTTCAGCTCTTATCAACAATCTTTTAAAAGCTGCCCTAAATTGAACCACGTTTGGGTTATTATTGAAGCCACCTCGTGCCCGAATAGCTGAAAAAAACACCTCGAGGTGGTACTGGCTGACCTTGTATAATGGCAAGTACTGTAAAAGTTTGGTGCCCTCAATCAAATATTTATAGAGTTGAATTGCACTGATCATATCCAGAATAAGCCCTACAAAGCCGGTTTTTCTTCTAGTATCTACAAGTTTCTCTATGGCTGTCAAAGCTGGACACTAACAAAAACAATAATAAACAAACTTCAGGTCTTTCAGCGTGCAACAGAGAGGAACATATTAGGTCTTAAACGAGATAGACAAAAAATATAGAAATAAGAAAAACCACAAAAGTTATAGATGCTGCAGAGTTAGCATGTAAATTAAAATGGAGATGGGCAGGCCAAGTTGCAAGAGATAAAAAATTGAATTTTATGTTATCGTGACCAATCTGCTGTAAATTGATCTTCATAACATGTTATAATTAACCACTACATATCTTATTATTAATATTTGATTTCAATTTACGTTTGATTTATTTTATTAGTTTGATTATGTATTTTTTATTATTTCATTTTTTTTTTAATTTCTTTTATTATTTCATATTTGATAATTTAAAAAATGTACCTAGTTAATTGTTATTTGCTTTTAATAATTAAAAAAAGTCTAAATGTTTGTTAAAATTTTCTTTAAAGCATGATTGGTTTTGTAGATGAAATGAAATTTTAAATAAACTTCTTGAATAATTTATCTTTTGGGTATAATTCAAATCAGATAAAAAATGAAGTTATTTAAAGACTTCCTTTACTAACAGAAAGAGACTTCGACTTTCCTTGAGTATTATCCGATGAACTATTTTATTTTCAATCGCTATTAAAATTTATGTCTTCTGTTGACCAATTTTGAATTCTTCGTTCTGTTTAAGCGTGGAATTCTTTTGGAGTTTTTATATACTGCGATCGACTAATGAAATTAATTACGCTTCTATAAAAGCTTAATACCGCCGTGTAGTGGCGGTTGAGAATATCCACTACCCCCTATCTTCCCGTGGGTGTCGTAAGAGGCGACAGAGGGAGACAGGCAGGAGATGGGCAGCAGCATCTTCCTGATAACAACTGTGACATAATAAAAAACTGCGGTTGCCAACCCGCTCGCCAAGCGTGGCAACTATGGCAAATATCCCCCCATGAATAACGACGCAAACAGACGGCCCCCAGTCCCCGGCGGCCCCGCTATTCCTGGCTACGGAATGTAAATGAAATTTTGTAATATATTTAATTTTATGTAATTCTTTTTTGGGAAATAAAGGCGTAAATAAATAAATAAATAAATATCTACACGTTTCTGCCCAGATGGCAACGTCGGATTTTGAAAGTAGCTTATAGCGCCTTCGAATAAAGCTTCCACCAAACCAATGTTTTCAGAGAAAATAGCCTTTTTCCACCCCGGTGGTCTAATTGATCGGCTGTTCAACACATCAAAAACATTGTTTATTAACCTAATAAAGTTAATTGTGCCTTCACATCCTTGAAATACCGGTATTTTAAATTATTACAATGCTCCAAGGCATCTGCCACCGAGTCACTAAGAAGCTGCGTGGCAAGTCGTACCTTCATTATTTGTTTTTGATAAAGTACGTGAGCTTTTGTGAATTTCGTGGCCATATGCAGTCCTGCTACTTCCTGCAAATTTAGCAGATGTTCCAGATAGATGTAATTAATTTCCCTGCCATAAATATCACAAAACACTCTTAGTTCTCCGAAAGCATTTCGGACTAGTTTGATAGCATGTCAGGGATCAATAAAAGCGTGTACGATGCTGTCACTGTAAGTAAAAATCGTCTTGCTTGAATTGAAATCACATCCTAATGTTGAAAACATGCTAAAATTTGCAGCTAAACCATCACAGGTCAAGCTCACAACTTTGACATCTTTTTCTTCACATTTGTGGATGCATATTTTTACTAGTACTGCTTTTTGTACCCCAGACAAAGCTGTTATGAAAAAGTATCCCACAAGCAGCTTCCAACTACCGTTTATACAGGTCAGGAGTAAGACAAGACACTCATTGGCTACTTCTAGTGAGTCCATATCACAGTCAGTGCCCACGTTAACTCTTCCATAATAAGTCTTAGTTTGAGGATACCAGCAAAGACACTTTCTGATAGCCATTTCATCTAACACTAAAGAACATAGCACTGGCATCTCACTTGTTTGAGCTTTGAGTTTCAAAGCATTAAAAGCTTCTGTACAAAAACCAGGCTCAGCGTTTACATTCTGGTACCACCTACTTAAAGTTCTCGGATGTGGCAAACACATATTGTAGGCACGACGAACAAAACCTTTGGAGACAGAAAGTGAAGCGTTAATGCGACTTTTCGAACTTCTTCGCTGTATTGCCTTTTCATAGGCAATCCTACCGATTTAGAAATTTGTCTCTTAAGAAAATCTTTGGGGCCTGGGGCCTGCGCACTGCTCTAACACAGTCGCATGATCATCATTAACATAGTTTTTGTCCTTTATATCCTTCATAAAAATTTTAAAATCAGCTATTTCCTTACTTTGTCTCCTCACTTTTTCATTTAATCTTTTAATTTTTTTCCTTTCATCTTCACATTTCATCTTAATTTTTTGGATTATTTTAAACTGTTGATCCTGAAACAAAAAAAAGCACATTTACAAAACCAAAGAAAGTGTTCTAAGTATTATGATTTCTTAAATTTACGCGAACACTACACATTGAATAAAACTAAATTTACGGATTTTATCGCGTTTATTTCACTACTTTTACTTATTTTTAGTTCTAAGTATTTTTCTGTTAATTTTGTAAGTTTCAATAAAAAGAAAAATAGGCTATCGATCCAACTCATGATGAATATTTTACAAGAAGCAGTTCATCTAACTACATTAAATGTGGTTGGTTAAAATTCTTTAAGATTATATGTTAAAAAAAACATGTGAAAATAACACACCTCAATAAAGTTAGAAGTGCTGCCGACAGGTTTCTCTCCAAATATTTTGTAAGGAACAGTTTGTTGCTTCTCACTTCTGTAACATGGGGCTGGTAACTGTTAAAGAAAACAATAACATATTTTAATATTAAGTGAATTTGTATTTTAAAGTCCAGATTCTATACCTAGAAAGTAACATAAATTATGAAATATCATACTAACATTTACATAGAATACAATTAAATTACATACAATAGAAATGCTGCATACAGGCGTCTCTTATCGTACTATGTGAGAAACGGATTTTTGTTCTTCACACTTATTAAATTGGGCTGATAACTGTAAAGGTCAAATAAAAATATTAATAAATATTTTGTAAGTTTTTATTAAAATGTTGTCAAGATTTTTTTAGTTACCCACAGCACCGCACCCTCTTAGGAAATGAAAATAATTTACTCTTGGTTTCTCTACCAACACCTTGCGAGAAACAGATACTTGTTCCTTACAATCTTCAAGTTGAGCTGGTAACTATAAAAATACAAATATATGTTTGTAATATTTTTTTGCTTGTTTTTAACCTGCAGCCATACTGCGTAAGCATTTTACCACTTACCAACAACTCGCTTGAAGGCAAAGCATCATCGCGCAGCCTTGTAACATTTAAAGTTCGATTAAAAGATTTTTCTTCAAAATGTAGCGAACAAAGTGTTCAGTTTTGGTGTTGAGGTTTTCTATACCAAGTATATTCAGCCACTTTTCTTTTTGTTTCTCACACTTTGGTAATCTAAAACCACAAAAAGAAATCCTCTTTATATAGGAACTATTCATCTATCGATATATCGATATATTGAAAGTTGCCGAACCGTACTGATTTTCGATCACTAAATAATGATAGAAAAACATTAGATCATAATGATTTCTTATATTTATGCGAGCAATACACATTTAAATAATATTAATTTTTACGGATTTTATCGCGTATATTAACATTAGATCATTATGGAATAGAACTAAGTTACTTACCTATGCAAAGTAATATTTTGATGTGTGTTCTTGTTTTTCATCCAGGAGCTTATTACACTGCACCTGCCCATGATAAATGTAGTCCTCTACTAGTTTTGAAATGCACAATTTTCGCATAAAATGCATAAAAACATTAAATTTTCTTTAACATTTGAAAACAAACTAGTCGCTAAGACAACTGATATACTTGTCATTGACTGTGACAAAACATGGCGACCGGCCGCAGCGAAAAAATTGTTGTCATATTCGGTAATGATTAAAGTAATGTTGTCCTTTTTACATACTCATGAGCTAAAAAGAGACGCCGATATTTCGTTACATTCCTACAACTAACGATATTTATGTCATGTCTTTTCTTTTTTCTCTAGTTAAAGATCAATAGCTTGTCTTTGGTCTCTAACTAATTTCGGTCAACTTTCATTAATAAAAACTGACAACTCATTGTTGTCGTATGAACGTGTCAGTATTACATCCGATGCATTGTTATTTGGCAGAATTGGAGAAGTTAAACCAAAATCACTTAGGGTTTTCTCATTTAGTTCTAATAGTTTATTTTCTATTTGTAACAAATCTTCATTGTAGATGTCATCATTATAGTGTAAAGTGAATTCCTGATTTTGCTGTCGTATTATATATCTTATGTCGTCACATAAATCGTCTTTGAAGTTTTCCCACAATTTGAGTGGTTCAGATGAGTAACAAAATAATAATATCACCACAAACAACTCCCTCAGCTCCAAAGGACGTTGAGAAATTGAGGCTTCTCTCAAAGTGTTTTCCCATTGGTTATCGTTTTCTAACAAACCTCTCTCGCTTGGTATGTTTCTTTGACAACTCTGTTCATAGTTTTTAAGTCCCGGAATGAGGTGGGACCACGTACGTGACGAAGCATAACTCTGAGATAGAAACACTCTGACTGAGAAGGATGGACACTGTATACTCTTCCCAAAGCAGGATCTTTTTTTATTCCGGGATGGCCAGCGAGATCTTTACAAAATTTATAATTTATTTATTCATCATCATCATCATTACAGCCCTTCACAAGTCCACTGCTGAACATAGGCCTCCCCCAAGTAATGCCACAAAGCACGGTCCTGAGCCACCTGCATCCATCGACTTCCTGCATGTCTTACCAGGTCGTCACTCCATCTAGTGGGGGGTCGCCCTACACTACGCCTACCGGTACGAGGCTGCCACTCGAGAACCTTTCTTCCCCATCGGTTATCGGTTCTTCGAGCTATATGGCCGGCCCATTGCCACTTCAGCTTACTAATCCGTTGGGCTATGTCGGTCACTCTGGTTTTACTGCGGATATCCTCATTTCTGAGTCTATCACGCAGAGAAACTCCGAGCATAGCCCTCTCCATAGCTCGCTGAGCGACTTTAAGCGTCCTCATACGGCCAGCAGTGAAGGACCACGTCTCAGATCCGTAAGTCATCACTGGCAACACGCACTGGTTGTACAATCTAGTTTTTAGAGATTGAGGTATACCTGACGAAAAGATATGCCGTAATTTCCCGAACGCTGCCCAGCCGAGTTGAATCCGTCGATTGACCTCTCGGTCGAAGTTGGACTTACCTAGTCGGACTATTTGTCCCAGGTAAACGTATTCGTCAACAACTTCGAGCATAGTGCTCCCAACAACTACCGGCATAGGTGTGACATGGACATTGAACATGATCTTTGTTTTGTCCATGTTCATCTTAAGACCTATCCGTTGGGAGGCACTATTGAGGTCATTGAGCATAGTGCTTAAGTCCTCCAGCGATTCTGCCATAAGGACTATATCGTCGGCAAATCGAAGGTGAGTGATGTACTCGCCATTGATGTTAATACCGTATCCTTTCCAGTCCAGTAGCTTGAAAACGTCTTCCAATGCAGCGGTGAAGAGTTTCGGGGATATAACGTCACCCTGTCTTACACCTCTCTGCAGTTGGATAGGTTTCGAGCTCTGGTTCTGTACTCGGATAGCCATCGTAGCCCTACTGTACAAACACTTCAGCACTTCGATATACCGACAGTCAACTTGGCACCGCTGAAGGGACTGTAGCACCGCCCAAATTTCGACGGAATCAAAGGCTTTCTCATAGTCCACATACGCCAGGCAAAGTGGCAGATTGTACTCTTCAGTCTTCTGTACAATCTGCCGCAGGGTATGTATGTGGTCTATGGTACTGAAGCCTTTTCGGAAACCGGCTTGTTCGGGAGGCTGGAAGTCGTCAAGTCTGCGTGCGAGACGATTCGTAATGACTCTCGAAAACAGCACGTAGACGCGGCTCAGAAGGGAAATCGGTCTGTAGTTCTTTAAGAGAGCGTTGTCGCCTTTCTTAAAGAACAAGACCACCGCACTTCTGCTCCACGCCTCTGGAGTAGTGCCACCATGGAGGACGGAATTGAAGAGCTTCTGAAGGACTTCAAGTACCGGTGTTCCACCCGCTTTCAGAAGCTCCGCTGTAATTCCATCCTCGCCTGGGGCCCTGCCGTTTTTAAGGTGCTGGAGAGCCATTCTAATCTCGCTTAGACTGACGTCCGGGATATCATCGGAATAGTGTCGGATAAGACTTGCTCTTGGATCGTTACTCACACTTGCGTGTGGCTCCAACGATGATGTGTACAGCTGCCCATAGAACCTCTCAATCTCACTCAAAATCTCAGGTGTCCCGGAAACGATGTTGCCACACTCAGTCTTCAGCCTTGACAGTTGGTTCTTTCTGGCAGACAGATCTCTGGCAAAGACTTTGGAGCCCTGGTTCCGCTCGATCGCTTCTTTAATACGAGAAGTATTAAAGTTGCGTAAGTCTCGCCGTATGCATTTGGAGATCTGTCTGTTCAGTTGCCTGTATGCTGTCAAATCTGTTGACGATTGCAGCCTCATCTCCCGTCTAACAGCCATGAGATTAAGAGTGTGATCGGAGAGTTTTTGTGTTCTTCTGCGGCGGGTCTTGCAGAACTTAGCTCCGACCGCATGGACAGTTTCCACGAGCTTGTCGTTCATTATTTTATTTATTATAATATATATATAATAATAATAATAAATAATTATAAATATTTATAATATTAAATAATAATAATAATAATTAATAAATAATAAAATGGCGTAGGGAATTGACGACCCCATCGCCCGCTGACGTAACAGTTAAGTGACAAAACTGCTACGTCAACGCAGTCAGTCAGCGCCTTGCGAGAGGTGTGAGCGCAGTGCCTTGACAGAATTTAGGGTGCAAAGGCCCGTTTGTGCTTATGACCGCACACGATACGGTGCAGGGCCTGGGCGCCTCCCGTTAATGGACGCCAAAATCACGGATGATGGAAAAAAAGATAGTGCGCAAAGGGCCGCTGCCTGGAGGTCACCAGGGCGCAACTGGAGCTGGCGCTGGACGCGACAGCATGCCAGCAGCCGAGCGCGGGGTGCTGCAAGACCACCTAGCAGCGCCCCGCATCCATCATCCCCACCAGAAGGCTTGATGTCGGCTGGGTCTTCTCGGACTCAGCAAGCGGCACCCGCCGCTGGTGGAGCACATCGCATGCGTTGGTCACAATTAATGAACGCAAACGCACTGCGGGCGTACTTTAGGGCAAAAGGGGAAGAAACTGGATGTTTGGCGTATCGGGCTCGGATGCATCGCTTTTTTGCAGAGCTGGAGCCATCTGTATCCGTCACTGAGCAAAACCTGGCAGACCGAGTTCGGTACATCCTGCGCTCCAACATATTTGGTAACGCCGAACTCGAACGACTACGACGTGAGGCTGTTCCCTCATCGAATGGAAATGCTATGGCTGGGAATGCGGCGCCACTAGATGCGCAGCAAACTGCACATGTGGATGCTGCCGTGAATATTCCATTTGTGGTTAATTCAGACGATGATGGAATAGTCTCCCACGAACTAGAGAAAATGAGGAGCATATTGGAAGAGTCGATGCTGGAAGAGTGCGAAGATGCTGATCTGCTGCTTTTATGTATAATATTTTCGACTCAGTTAATGGCAGTTTTTAAAAGAAAAGATGCCAAAACTCTACTTGGACCTGCAACAGCTCACTCCATACATCACAAAACATGTATGGATGCCAAAAAAGTTTTTGCGTCTATGATGTTTATCTTCCACTGGTAGAATTTATTCCAACTGTAAACAATTGGGTGTGGACACTAGAAGGGATGGAAGTTTTATTAAAAAAAAATTGAAATTGATTTTGGCATTACATCAGTTTGGTTGCGTCATCTAAATCAGGACCCACTGGAAAATTGCTTTGGATCGGTTAAACGCCATGGATGCCGTAATATTAATCCAACTTGTGACCAATATGAGTCAGCTTTTGCCACCCTTTTGATTAATAATTTAAGTAGTGTCCACACTCATGGTTAAAAATTGCGAGCTAGATTATTGTAATGCTGTGCACACTCATTGTTAATGAAAACTTAGAGGCATCGTCAACCTGCACATTTGATTTCACAAAAATTTTAGAAATAAACCTCACGCCAATTACAATGAAACTTAATATAAACATTGGGTTAACTTTAAATATGCAATATTGTTATTTTAACAGACTCAAAGTTACAGGCTGACTCCAGAATAGTATATTTACAATGGATACCTTCGCACATTGGCTAAGCGGGTAATGAAAAAGCTGATATTTTAGCCAAACAAGCTATTTCGGCTATTTTATTAATATTACCCCTGCATTTCAAAATTATATACCTTTATTAAAAAAATAATGTTATGACCTTTGGAAGAAATATTTTGACGAAAGAGCAAAAGAAAAGTGTATATGGTAACGTACGATCCAGCCGTACCCAATGCGCTCAACCTGGATAGATAATGGAATATTGTGTAGACCCAATACTGTAATAGCATTAAGACTCAGATCTGGGCACATTCCATGCAATAAATTTTTATACTTGAAGCGAAAAACTACCTCACCAAACTGTTTAACTTGCAATGTTATTGATGATGCTTATCACATTTTGATAGAATGTGCCCAGAACTCCATAGAAAGAAATAATTGTATTTTACATTTGTCATAGATTAGCAGTATTATAGTCAACCAAATCTAAGAAATACTTTTCACACGTTTCACATTAATCATTTCGCAATAACTACTCAAGCGTACTCACGACATTTAAAATAACCTTTACCGTAAATGCGAAGAATAATAATGTTATGTATATTTCTTTACCTCGTGTATGGTTTTTATCACTAATTTAAATTCGCATTTTTCAAACAAAGCAAGATACTAAAAAAATATCCAGTATCACCTTTTTTTACTTACCGTAGTGTTTGGATCATTAAAATTCATTGTTATGTGAATAATCGGCAAAAATATTCAGATAATGGAATCGTTATTTTTGTAATGTATGATTTGTTCAACTTAATTTTATTTTAAAATTCATCAATCATGAACAAAACAAGTTCTTTTTTGAAATTTGTGAACGCAAATTTGTGTAAGCAAAAAAATTCATATACAAGGCCGTGCTGAAAAAACTACTACGTAATTTCAATCTTCCGCCATTTCGGGAGCTTACTATGCGTAATTTTGTGTTTGTCTTCTTATTTTGTTGCTCAGCTTTAACTTTGTGGACTATTTCTTATATATTCGTTGAAGCATGTGCCCATATCACAAAGGATGATTGGACAAAAGTGGTATAAAAAACAAAAAAATTTGATTATGGATGACTTTGAAAGAGACATTAATTTTGACTGCATTATCGAAAATCAAATAATAATCTAAACAAGGACGGCTCAACTAGTTGTACTGAAAGTGATTGAATAAATTTATTTTTAATCTAGTTTCAATCTTAAATTTTTATAAATGTGCCTCTAGAAATAAGCAGTAACAACAAATAAGAAGAAACTGATCAATCTTGTTTTTTAAATTATGCGTTTTTTATTTATTCTGGTATTATTGAAACCAAACTGTAAATGATTACCAACTCTAAATAATCGTTATCGATTTTAGAATTTTGTACGTTTCCATTTTTTGGTTGGCATATTTGGTGCAATAAGTCTGATAGCTGTCAAAATGTATTTCTTAGATTTGGTTAACAATAATAGTATTTTTTCAGACCCGTTATCAGATGATGCCAAAAACTTTGTGTTAGTAAATAAGAGATTAAATAATTAATTATGCAATAAGTTTATTTGTTAGTATTTATACTATATAAGAATTTTGTTGTACCAGGGCGTCATAATCGCTTCAGTGACAAAGCCCTTTTTCTAAGAATAAAAAAAAACTTTAAATATGACCTATTTTCTGAAGATGAAATAGAATACATAAAATACAGAGAATATGCAGGTGGCTTTGTATTCCTTGCAATGATTTGATTTAATCAATTTCAGATATGCGGGATATAATCAATCATATTTCAAAGGACAATTTTGAAAATGATCAGTTAAAAGAAATTATGAAAACAAGCATATTATACTTTAATTGATTTTGATTTTATGAAATGTAATGTGCATAAAAATAAATAAGTTGATTATTTTATAAATATTGTGATGCGTTGTCTGATTTTTAATAGTTTTAAAAATAACAATAGAATATTAGCAGGGAGAAAAGAAGTAGATGATGATGAGAACTATTTCCAAATAAAGCCCAAAGGTTAAGAAGTAAACTTTTTAAAAGAAAGAAATAATTACTCTTGTTGCTACCAAAATGGGTTAATAATATTTAATTACTGTTACAAATTTTATATATTCATGCGTTCTAAACTGATTTATCAATGATATGTAATAATAAATACGCCTAAATTGAACCACCAAATTATAAAAGTAAGATTAATGAAACTTGTTTTTTTTATACAAATGTATTTTTATAATTAGCAGATATGTCGTTATTAAATAGGTTAGATATACTCTATGAGTCTATAGAATGCATTATTACAATATTCATTAAATAATTTATTTTTAAACACAAAGTCTATTGCTAAAGATTGCTGATACCATAGAATACTATAATACACAATAGAATGGCTGTCAATTTCATTTTGTACGAGGAAGGGCATCGACAAACCCGATTCGCTGTGTTGACAGAGTGAATCTTATTAAAAAAAATTGTTTAACTCATACATATTTATTTGTAAATAGTGTGCAATTTGGCATTTTCTAAATAATTTGCATGCAAAATTCGGAAACCATTGTAAACGTCAAAACACATATTGTGTTGACATTTATACATGTGAATTGACGTAGTGACATTTTAGTGGCTACGCGGGCTCCGCCCACTCCCCCGTTCTATTATGTATGTATTATGGTATTCTATGCGTGATACTATGAGAATATTTGCCACAGTATATCAGGTGGGTTGGCAACGGCAGCGTATTTTTTTCCGAAGAGGCTGCTACGCATAGCTCATGTTTTAGTTTATCTCTGTTTATCTCTGTCGCTTCTTGATGATTCGCCACGGGATGACATTGAGTAGTAAATTCTCTTACGCCGTCATGACTTATTACACTACAGGGTACAATACAGCACATAATTTTTTGTATTACATATTTTATTCAAAAGAGTGTTAGAAATAATGCAAAGAAGCATACAATGTGAGTTTAAGACGTCTTCATTGCTAACATACTGCTTTAATATCTGTTTTCAAATATTCATTATTATATAAATATTATTGCTTGAATATTTGTTTTTGTCAATATTCGATTCGATTTTAATGGAGCAATATGCAGAATTACTCATTTGATTGGCAATTGGTTTAAAATTCATTTCAAAAATTATAAATCGCCGTAATTCCAAAGGACCTCTATTTTACTATCATTTCAATTTAATCTTAAAAGAGAAACAAGATAATCTATAATCAAGATAATCTATAATCTTTTAAGAAAAACAAATATTCAAGATTGGATTTGATATAGGCCGAATATGGTTGTCACCGAATACGAATATTCGGCCGAAAGTTTGGTAAAACTTTTACCGAACCGAATATTCGGCCGAAAATTATTCAACGGGATCACCTCTGTAACTAACCAATTTATATCGAAACTTGTTACCATAAAGCGCGCGAGATTATATAGAAAAACTGACGACCAAAGTAAAGTGAAATGTACTAATGTAATTTAATGTTTTCTTTGTTTGATTTTATAATTGCTATAATTGGAAATAAATCTAAAGTACCTCGAAAACATAACATTACAAGTAGATTTAACCCATAAATAAAATATATTTTCAACAGTAAAATTATGAAAGACATGACATTACTCATTTCGTACAATTCAAGTGGACATTTTTAGTACCACTTAAACGAATATTCGGTGATTTAGCCGCATATTCGGCTAAGTACGAATAATCGGTAAAGCTGCCGAATACCGAATATGAAAGGAATATTCGGCCTATCTCTCATTTTATATATATATATATATATATATATATATATATATATATATATATATATATATATATCTTCGTTTCAATTTAATGAAGCAATAATGTAGAATTGCTTACTTAATTAGCAATTGGTTTCAAAATTTATTTCAATTCCAAACGATCTCAATTTTATTCTTGACCCATTTTAAATAATTATTATAATATATGAAGTTGAGTGCAGATTTACATTATTTAATTTTTTTAAATTTAGTTCTTATCTTTGTTACAGGCTGTTCATTAATTTCTATATTTAAATTGAAGAAATGTACTGATATTTATTATTGTCATAACTATTATTGTATTTGTGTGCTGTTTTAATTAATAAATCCTGTAAATATAATGTTAGTTTTATTTATTTTGATTTTAATTATTAATATCTGTGATGAGAACAAGTATATATACACTTAGGTGCTATATGTATATATATATATATATATATATATATACGGCATATGTATATATAAGCTTATATATATAGATATTACAATAAAGTTTCTAACTATGGATACGACAGGCGCTAGTTATGCATTGCCATTTTATAGGTCGAAGATTGGTCTCTATTTCAGTTTATACAAAGGTACTCTGTGGTTTGTGTATAGAAACTGTCAAATGTCAATGTCAATAATCAATAAATATCATTCAGAAAATTGCAGATTGCAGAATATCTTTCTACAAATAATTTAAAATTCACACATAAAATTATTCAAAAAGTTAAGCAATTTATTCTATAATTAATAATTAATATAGGTATAAGTTTTGTTTCGTGTAAATTTAGAAAAGAAAAAGAAAGTGGTAGTTAGTTATGATATTAGCTGAAACTTTGTTGTTCTCTCTGTCATTAATCGATAGCGGTGCTATATTGTTCTTATTAGTTTATTTTATTATAACATTGTCAGATTTAGAATGTGATTATTTGAACGCCCAAGAGTGCTGTGAGAAGCTTAACTATTGGCTGTTACCAAAATATATAGCTCATTCTTTTATCACCTTCTTATTCTTATTACATGGGCAACTTATCCTTTTCTTATTAAATTTGCCGATGTTTATATGGCTTTCGTTCGAATATTTTACAATACCGCAGGGTAACTTTGGTGTTTATGATCCTGTAGAAATTTACAACCGCGGACAGATTAAGAAGCATTTAAGAGATGTTATGATCTATATAGGGTACTACCTATTATTTTTCTTTATTTACCTTTATTGTTTTATATTAGCTCTATTAAAAGGAGATCCAATTCAGAGAGGAAGTGAAGACCAAATTGTAACTGAAATCTAAATTTAAAATGGATTCAGTGTTGACTGAAACATCTCTCAATGTAATGTATTTTGGAGAAGAAGAGGATGTTAATGACAATGAAGACGAGGGAGATTCTGCAATAGGAGACACGGAAAAATGTGAAAAATTAAATTATAATGAGAATATAGTAGCTTTTATTGAAAAAAGAGAATTGACAAGGAATATAAAACCTTTAGTATGCAGTAATATTTTATTGGAAAAAATTACATCTAATTATATCATTGTAAAGCAGATTATTAGTAACCTATCTTGGCAAGATAAAGCTATGTGCAAACTTGTATGTAACAATTGGTACTCTGCTGTACAAACATTACAAAAAGAGCAAATATCACCTGAAGACTTTGTTATAGACTTGTGTTGTTCCCTTAAAAGTGGAGGTGGGAAAGGATGGTTTAAAAAGTCTGGAATTTTTTACACAGAGCCTTTGGTAATTCTTACATTTGCAAATACAGCTGGTTTCAGTGCTGTGTGTAAATGTAAGGTTATTCAACCAAGGCCTTGTGAACAACATTGTGAGAAAGAGCACTGTTGTAAGTTTTAAAGAAATATACTTTACTAATTATATTTTATTTTTTATAGTAGCTAGTAATGTTTCTCTCTCTAAAACTCATATGATTACATCAAAAAAATATTCATTACAAGAGAATTATAATAAAAACATACATAATTTTTTGGAAAATTTGGAATGACATTAACACGGAATAATACGTTAATTTGTTGCAGTGATAGACTTGATAAATTGTCATGTTAATGCTCCAAAAAATTGTATGCTGACTGTTAAAGCTAACTACTTGGTGTATAGACCACAACCTCATTCAAATACTTATGGACACTCAATAACACATTACAAATACACATGGACCAACCCTTTCATTGCTGGAATATTTATACCTAAGATCCCAGATGTGAGTTTTCAAGTTCTAAATATTAGATCTCAGAATAGTTTACAGCAAGAGTTTTATGACGTGGTTGATAAATTATCAAAAGAACATGTAATTAAAGGTGTCCTTGTTTATGTTACTGAGAAATATTTGTTGGATTCTGTTGAAGACATTGTTTTTTTGAATTATTTTAAAGATGTGTAAGTATATGACAAATATTTAAAGGTGTTGTTTAAAATATTTTGGGGATTTTAATTTTATTAACTTTCGTTTGACAGGCAACCAAATGTTCCCTATGCTCTCGGAGGTTGTATTGTGGAAGACACTATGTCAGAAAATAGTGATATTAATTTACTAGTGGACAGTTTGAATGAAGGTGCTGATTTTATAAGTGAGAACTTGCTGTCTATTGGCTTGTTTACTATACCAAAGACATCCAATAATAATGAGTACAATTTCGAAATGTACTCTTTTATAATTGAATCATCAGACTGGACTAAACCTAAGATACAGCAGTCAGTTACAGAGGTATGAAAGTTATGTTGTACTAAGCTTAACTTAAGAATTTTGGATAATCTTGTCATTTCGAATTTGCCATTGTTATGTCTCTTTAAATCATGAAGCAAATTTCATTTATTTGTATAATATATGTATGGCTGTAATTATTTTTATATTGTTGTTTTGTTTGTCTACCCACATAAATTATACTGCAAGATAGTTGTTTGGTTGGTTTTGTTGTAATTCCTTAGATATTCTGCACTTCTCTATAAAATAAGGGTTACAAACGAATACACGTCCACTTTTATGGTAAGTAGATGTTGTGGCCCATAGACATCTACATCAGTGGCGAAGCTAGGGCTCCAAACTAGGTTAAGCCCAAGATATGGTTTGATATTTTTAGCAGTTTAATAAAAATACACCTATCTTGATCTGTCTCCACTCTTCTAGAAGGCATACTACTGCTAGATAGATTGTATGACATATCAGCAATTGCATACTTTCGGTGGCCTTGAAAGAAAAAGATATTTACATGCAATACATGAACAAAAGAAAATCATAAATAAAGTACAAACAAACTATATATAAAATTAAAAAAAGGGACACCTGGCAGATGTGAAACAATGAAATTATATTGTTTAAGTTATATGCATAGAAGAACAGATTACGACAGAAATTAGATATGGTATAATGAAAAGATAAAGCATCACAAAATTTTTTTCCATAAAATAATGACTACTTTATAATTTTTCATTTTTAATATTAATAAACCGTACAAAATGATATTTTTAACTCATAAATATTTAAATATAAAATTAGCTGATAGCAATGTTTGTGCCATCTAGCGTATTCTTTACGTGATTCAAATGACTTCACCTATAGAATTAAGTAGATGGCTCTATTAAAATTTTATATACTGAAGGACTAAAGGAAATATTCTTTAAAAACATCAATACATGTATTCTTTTGATTTATTACATTAAAATTTGGGCTTCACATTAAAAAAAATTGTAACAATTATTTGCTATAAAATTAAACTTATATTTTATGCTGCCCTACAAAATGATATTTTTAACTCATATGTTATAATATAAATATTGAATTAATAAACATTTAAATACGCCTAGCTTAATTAAACTTTAATACTAAAGAGTCCTGTACCTATTAAAGTATGAAAAATGTTTATTAAATTAAAATTTCATGAAAGATTTGATTATGTCCGCGCAAAATGTCAGTGAAAGTTTTAATTGTACCAATTACCGTTTTTCAATTGCGATAATTGAGCGAGGATATGAGCTTTTTTTTCTCAACAAAGTTTAAAGATTTTACCTTTTCCTCGTCTATTAGCACTTTAATACACTTCAATTCATCACAAAAAACACTATTATCTTCCATTTTCACTAAAAATCTTTTAAAAAGCTTAAATTTTCAACTTGCAATATTCATTCGCACAAGTAAATCTGAGTAAACATTGAAATGTGAAGTGAACCTGCAAACGCATCGCCCGTGCGCCCCCGCTCTCGACGATCTACTTCATACCAAGAAGCCTGGCTTTTTCGCTGTATATTAATTGCTATATAAACAATTGTAGTTATATTTCACTATAGAACATTTTGCCACAGGCTAGAAAGGGAGCGATCGTTTTCTCGAAAACCCTTTAAAAAGCCCACGAAACAACAGAGAGACGACTAATCGCTCAACTCAACTCTTTTTTTATGACAGGAGTATCGTGCAGTTTTGCCGCAACCGAATCGTTGCATATTGTTCATTAATTTTGACAGTCCATTGCGTTGATGTGACACATCATTGTAATTAGTTAGCGGAAGTAATAAATTATTTATTATAGTGGATTTCCGCAAAGTAACGCCTGATTCTATTAATTACTCCATTGCGTGTTCCTTTTGAGACAGAGAGAACATGAATCAGTGCATTTCAAATGAAACAGTTTACGAGTTATTTTATTAATTTAACAATTTAGGTGGAATGCCTCGCTTGCAGTGAAAAAGGTATCTGGTTCTACATCTGTATGGTATCTACACCCACCATATGAAACACAACAACATTATTCAGTATTCTGTGTGAGCATGTTCCTTCTCCCATTGAGCCGACTCATTTGTGCTACAACCATAATATAGCTGCAGCCTGGCTCTACCACATACAAATATTTGATGCTGTTTACCTTAGGTCTAGGTATTTTCTTTATTTTAAAATCATGCTTCATTCGGTTTATTAAGTTAAATATATGCACTACTGTAATAATTGTTTAATAGGATATCTAGTTCTACTAATGTTAAATGTTATCTTTTCAGTTTTCAAAAAAAGTACCTCGGTTTGAGCATAGCATTGCTCTAAAACTTTCATGTGTGGGTCGCGATCAGAAACATGTGCTGGAACAAGATTGTTTCCGAGCTGTTTTTCCGAACACAACAATAGTGGGTTGTTATGGCAATGGTGAGTTAGGCATTCACCACCCAGCAAGACCAGAGCCTGAGGCCCTGTCGAATGCTACAAAAAGACACCGACGGGACTCTGGACCTCAGTTTGGAATTATGTATTCATACTCAACAGTTTTTGTTTATATTGGATGGGGTAAAATAATATCACCACAAGGACCTCTTTGATTTTTTTAGTAATAATAAGAATAAGGACAAGGTTTTTAATAAGTATATACAGTTCTTTCAATATTCTCTATTAAAATATCATGTTTTAATTAGGTTAGTTGTAAGACTGCTATTGTAAAAAATCTCAAATTGTATTTCAGTTTGTTAAATTATATTAAAACAATGTTGAGATGTTAGGTTTTACCGTTTATCCACCCGAAATAATCCTAGGGTGGATAAACGGAAACGCGTGTTTTTTTATCCACTCTAGATAGGATGGATAATCGGAATTAACTTTTTATTGTTGTTCCGCCTTTCTTCACCAAGTACAGTTCAACAGAAAATATATTCATACTTTAACATTTTATTGATTAATTTTTAAGAACCACAACCTTAAACAAAAAAAAAAACATATTACATATTGTATTTAAATCAAATTAAACTACTTTGTTTTAAATAATAATGAGTAATTTAAAATTCTGCCAGAAATTCTGTCCAGAAAATGACCAACACTAATTTTATTATTATTGAAATAGACGTAATTGTATATCCTGTATAAATTCGTCTCTTCTAATGTATATTACCAATCGTTTTCTAAATTTCTTTGTTAATATTACAGATGTGTTAGCAAAAAACTGGGCATTTTTTGAAGCAATCCAAAAACTTTATTAAATTTGGATGTTTGTCTTTAACTTCATTTGATATAGTTGTATAGGCTCTTTTCTTGAGGGTTCCTAAGTAGTATTGGTCCGGAAAAATCTCTGATGGTAGTCGATTCCATAAAGAAGCTGTGCAAGGAAGGAAATTTCTTTTAAATCGCACAGTGGAGCACCGCCAGTCATCCAGATAGTATGGATGGTATCGCGAGTTTTGTCGCGAAGTGTGATGGTGAAATTATGCGGCTGGAATTAGTCCGAACAATTCCTCAGAGCACTCCTCGCAGTATGTATGTGTGGTGGATTTAGTCGCCCCCAGTCCGAGACTTGGTTTAACAAAGTCCCTACTTCAGACACAAATTTGTCTCGGTACTCGGCGACGTTTTTCCGAGAAATATTGCCACGGCCGATGTATAAAGCATTACCAGTGCTGTCGTCTGCATAGCAATGAATGTTACCGGTTTGCAGCATGTCATTGATATGCAGAAGAAACAGCGTTAGTGATAGCACGGAGCCTTGTGGAACGCTAGCATTAATAGGCTTGTAATCGGAGCATGCATCGTTTTCTACGACCTTGATGCTCCGATCAGCAAGATAACTGGTGATCCAATTGCACAATTTCTCGGGAAGCCCTAGAAAGGAAGCTTCGTAAGAAGCGCTTTGTGCCAAACCCGGTCGAAGGCCTTGGCTATGTCCAAACTAACGGCCAACGCCTTGGATTCTACTGCCTCCGCCCACTTATGAGTTAGGTAACCAAGAATATCACCGGCCGAGCGACCGCGATGGAAACCGTACTGGTGGTCACTAATCTGCTGGTGATCCTCAAGGTACCGCATGAGCTGGCTGTTAATAATGGATTCCATTATTTTAGAGAACTAGGAGGTGACGGCGATAAGCCTATAATTGGACGGATCAGAGCGGTTAACTTTTTTAGGGATCGGGTGCATGAAGGCTTACTTCCATGATTTCGGGACTACACCTAAATAGTAGGCGTACCGGAAAAGAAGCGTTAAAACCGGTGCCAACTCCGGAGCACACGTTTTCACCACAATAGGAGAGACGCCATGAGGCCCACTCGACTTGTTGACGTCCAGGGAAAGAAGTGCTCTGCGCACCGAGCGTTGGGTAAACAGCACTGCATGGAACACTCACACCGCGGGATGTTCTGCGGTGTGTTCCCCCCGTCGTCAAGAGTCGAGTTGGACGCAAAGAGAAAGTTCAACAGATCGGCTTTGTCTGCGGCACGGACCAGTGAGTCGTCCTTCCTGTGCAGAGATGGGAGAGATAGCTGACAGAAGTTCCCTTGGACAGCCTTGGCGAGAGACCAGAATGCACGTGTTACAGAAGGTAGACGAAACAGTTTCTTGCCAATTCTGCCTATGTGCTCTGACTTTGCCTTTACAATGATACTTTTGAAGGATTCTTTTCATAATATTGCACAAACGCCATCATATTATCGTCAATATTCAAAAAATATTTTACAAACAGCCAACTTGTTTCGGAAGAGAAATAATATACGAGTTCCGATTATTCACCCCGTCTGGGGTGGATACACGCGTTTCTAAGGTGGAGTTCTTAGAGATACCCTAGCGTGGACTTTCATTACCCTAAGGGGTGGATAAACGGAATAACCCAAGATGTTGAATTTTTAATGTTGCAGTTGTTTTGTACTTTTATTACCTCGGATCACACTGGGAATTAACACCATGATATTTTTATGAAGAAGTTATTTTTTTGATAAAAAACGATTGAAAGTGTAAATTCACACTCATTACAGAGTTATAAGATTAGTTTATTAAATACAGCTCCTTTAAAATTAAGGAGTTACAATAAATTACTGATTATCATTGTAAAACCATATTATATCATGTGTGGTGCGAATAAATGCATGAAAAGAAATATTTAAATATTTAATTGTTAATATTTACCTCACATCTTAACCACAAATAAACGTAATTACTCTTGGAGACTGGTTTATTACTGCTGCCAGCTTTTTAAAATGTTTAGTGCAAAATTGATTTCAATTAAGTATGTATAATAAATATGATATTAAAAGCCTATAAACGGTGTGCTGCTGTGCGCGCGTAAGCTGTGTATGTGTGCATGCGGATGTGAAAATGCGTGTGCGCGTGTGAAAATTTATACTTATAAAAATATTACTAGGTATGTAGTAATAAGTGCCGTGTGTGTGTGCTGACGTTTGGCAGTAGCGTAAGAAAACCATTACCCTACTTTGTCCCACGGGTATTGAAAAAGGCGATCATGGGAAATGCTAGAAAAAGTTTAATGGCTTCGATATACAATTATATAATTGTTTCGTTTATGCCAAACGTAAAATAACCTGACCGGCTGCGGACACCAGCGTCAAGAGTGAGAGACGTCTGATACTGCGATCTTCAATGCATAAGAACAGGACAGTCCTATGTCTAGCGGTATAATCTTACGGGCTCGTCAGGGAGAAAAAGATAGTATATAAGTAATAATCAGAAAGTATGGAAAACGTCAGACACAATATCATCGATTAAGAATTAAAATAGGGATGTCACCCCTGAGTAATGCCTCGGATGTGGAATGCCTCGTTACCAGTAAAGTGGGTCTCCGGCTATCTACACGCCCCGAAACCTTCCTTTTTCCAATTTGCTGTATAGTTCTTCGTTATTTTTTTATGGAAGAGAGGGCAAACGAGCATGAGGCTCTCCTGATGTTAAGTGTCTACCGCCGCCCATGAACTACATACTGCAACAACAGGGAAATTGCAGATACGTTGCCGGCAGTGGCGAAGCTAGGGCTCCAAACTAGGGCAAGCCCAAGATATGGTTTTGTTTTTAGCAGTTTAATAAAAATACACCAATCTTGAGCTGTCTCCACTCTTTAGTTTCATATTCAGTGCTGTCAAGGACGTGTTTAACAAAGCACACAGAAAGCATACTACCGCTAGATAGATTGTATGACATAATATGTAATTGCATACCTTCGGTGGTTTTGAAAAGAGCCGTTTGGGTTTGCTTGAGATATTTCCAAACAATACAATACATGAACAAAAGAAAAGCATGAACAAAGTACAAACAAACTATGTACAAAGTTAAAAAAGGGACGCCTGGCAGATGTGAAACCTCGAAATTATTTTGTTTAAGTTATATGCATAAAAGAACAGATTACGACAGGAATTAGATAGTTATAATGAGAAGATAAAGCTTTGCTAATTTTTTACCATAAATTAATGACTATTATATAAGCACCTGGTTGACCGAGCTTTGCTCGGTATTTTTCGCTCGATTTTTTTTAAATCGTGTGTTTTGGAAATTATATTTAGATATAAATTACATACTGATGAAATATAAATATTTTTCGATCTTAGCGACATAACAAAAAAACGGAACTGGTTATTTGAATAAAAAATCATGAGTGCAATTATTTTAATTTAAATTTTCTTGTTTTTAAAAAATACTGAAAAAAGAGCTCGAAAAAATAGATTTTCTCAAAAAAGAAAGGAACTTGAAAAAAATAAAAAAGTCGGTGGGTCAGTCTGGGCTCGAACCGGGGTTTAATATACAATAATTGCTCGTTTAATAGTATAGGATTATTCATTTTCAATCCTATACTATTAAACGAGCAATTCTATATATATATATATATATATATATATATATATATATATATATATATATATATATATATATATATATATAATCGGGATCTCGGAAACGGCTCCAACGATTTTCATAAAATTTAGTGCCCAGGGAGTTTCAGGGGCAATAAATCGATCTAGCTAGGATTTATTTTTAGAAAATGTCCTTTTGTCCGTGTTTTCAGGCAATAAAAAAACTGCTACAATATAAGAAGGTAAATTTTGACATATAGCGTAACGATCGTAATAGCCCAGGTGGGATGTCGGTCGGGCATGATATAGAAGTTTCGTGGTTCGCGTCCCGTCTTGGGTCTGTATTTTTTTCTTTTTTTTTTCAAATTCCCTTCTTTTGTGAGAAAATCTATTATTTCGAGTCCTTTTTTAAAGTAATTTTTAAAAATAAGAAAAAATTTAATTAAACTAATTGCACTCATGATTTTCATTCAAATAACCAGTTCAGTTTTTTCTATTATGTCAATAAGATCAAAAAATATTATTCATGTAATTTGTATCTAAATGTAACTTAAAAAAAAAACCGAGCAAAGCTCGGTCATCCGGGTACTTATGGTAATATAAATTAGCCGATAGCGTATTTGTGCTATCTAGCGTAATCTTTAGGTACCATCGTGAGAATCAACCAATTTTCGTTCGATAAAATGACTTTACCTATAGAATTAAGTAGATGGCGCTATTAAAATTTTATATACTGGAAATAACTAAAGTAACGGAACCCGTAATGGACCTGTGATGGACATTTCACTCTTTATCTATCAAAAATAGCCAAACTATGAATATTTCTTACAACTGGCAATATTCTCCATGAGTAATAGACCCTACCGAAGCCATGTTTTTCGTTTGACAGTACGTGAGACATTTTGTTCGTTCACAGGAAGAGTGGTAAAACGTGGTCGTGACGTTTATTTGAATAAATCCTAAATTATTGTAAGCATCGTGATGCTGGTTAGTTCAACAATTACGTTTTTTCTGAAATAGTTATGCATATTTTATTAAATGTCTGTTTATTTCGTGTTTTAGGAGTAGATCAAGAATTGTAATATAACCTTGCACATTTTATAACGGAAGGAATAATAAACAATTAAAGGCTATGTTTAACACTGGATACACTAACGTGTTACTACCCAGTCATGTACATTTAGTTCATTACTGGAGTTTTGAACAAATTCGCCAATTTTGTATTCTGTGAACTCTGACAATAATATGTTACGTTTTATTGCTGATATATTTAAGAAATTATTACGTAATCCAGAGTAATGTCATGCCTTAACTGGGACTGAGAATAAAAACGATAGAACAGTACATGCAAAGAGAGAATACACAAGTACAGACCATACAAAGATTGAGCACACAAGGACAGATCAGGCCAGAAAGGAATACACTAGAACTGAATGCACAAAGAGAGCATAAAGAAGAACAGAGTGCGGACGTCACAACAGAAAAAAATACACAAGGACTAAATAAAATTGGACAGATTATAAAAGTGAACACTGAAAAACAGAATGCAAGAGCAAAACACACAAGCACCAAATTTCAATTTACAAAGAAAGAACATAGAAGAACAGAATATGCAAGAACAGATCACAACAGAACAATATACGCAAACACTGAATGCACAAGGACAGGACAAAAAATTATCGATCACCCAACTGGACAAGGAAACAATGAGCAATCTTTCTCAACAGTATATGCTACACCACATAAATCTGTTATAATGAATTCGCCAGTGCCGTATCATTCAACTTCTACAACATTACCAAAGGCAGGGTAATCCCGTCACCTTTTAAACGTGTCTTATTTTGGCCCAAACTTGAAACTAAGAAGCGTTGTACCAAGGAGCGCGTGTACCGTCAGCTATAACTAGTGAAACATGGCGATATTACATGAAAAAAAAATCGAAAATGAAACGAAAAAAAGGAAGAAGAAAAAGAAAAATGAATAAAACAAAGAAAAGACAGAAAAATATTAAAGGAAAAGATGATTCTAGAAAAGAAACAACAACAAAAACAAAACCTAACGAAAAATATAAGGCAGCAAGATTTGTTTTCCGATGAAGATAATGATGATATGGAAGTTGAGTATGCTGAAAGCGGTGACTCCGAATATGCTCAAAGCATTGATTTATATAACGGTTGTATAACTCAATGTCTCAAAGTGGGAAATCAGCTCTGAAAATGAACCTTTAAGTAAAACAGTTTCTAACAAGAAAAGTTAGTGTGCGAAGAAAACTATAGGTGTTACCAATGACTCCTACGTTATAGTAAAATATGAGGGAGAATATTTTCGGGGTAGAATAGAAAAAACAGAACGAAATTCATACGAAATAAGTCTAACGGTGTTATGTGCAGGACACTTTTTCGGATGGCCAGATAAGCCAGATAAAATATGGTACACGGTAAAAGATTTTATAGAGAAAATTAATGACCCTTTGCTACTGAATAAGCGGGGGTTCTATAAAATTAAGGAAATGGAAAAATATTTACCGAATATTTTTTCATTTAGAGTTTATCGTTTACTTGCTTTTATATTTCTAATACAAAACTAATAGTTTTGTGCTCAATAAAAAGTATTAATGACTGATTAATATAAGTTATTTGTTTTATTTTATTCCTTGCATAAATGTTCAGTGTCCATCACTAGATGTTCATGACTGGAGGTTGTTCCAAAATTGGATGTCCAAAACTGGAACTAACCCTGTCCATCACTGGTGTTTTTAAATGCTTTTGTTTTTTTAAGTATATTTCTAAAAGTAGTAAGAATAGTAGGTATAGTTTTCAATAAATAAACTTATTACCAATATGTTCTTTAATCGCTTGTAACCTCAATTGCATTTATATGTACGTTTATCTACAGAGTACCTATAGTAGAAAACATAAAAAATTGGTCTTAAACTGTCAATTATGGGTTCCGTTACCTTAAAGGGAGTATTCTTTAAAAATCTCAATACATTCTTCTGTATTCTTTTGATTTATTTCATTAAAATTTGGGCTTCACGTTAAAAAAAGATTGTAACACTTATTTCCTATAAAATTAAACCTAGGTGTCTCATATTTTATGCTGGTGTTCAAATTGATATTTTTAATTCGTATGGTAATATAAATATTGAGTTATTAAACCTTTAAATACGCCTAACTTAATTAAACTTTAATACTAAAGATTCCTGCTCCTGTAGCTATATTTAAAGTATGAAGAAATGTTTATTGAATATTAAATTTCATTTTTAAACATCTTACCTTTTCCTCGCCGATTAGCACTTCAACACACTTATATTCATCACAATGAACACTATTATCCTCCTTGCATACGAATGGCCCGCACCCCATTCGCTAGTCGCTAATGCACTCCTAAACAACTTCATGGCAAAGCCAGGCTTGTGGCTCAATAGTAATTGCTATATAAACATTTCGTAGTTATATTTAATTATAGAATATTTTGCCATAGGTTAGAAAGAGAGTGATCGTCTTCTCGAAAGCCCCGTAAAAAGCCCACGCGAGCGAGGGAGACAACTAATCGCTCTATTAAAACTAACTTTTTATGACAGCAGCAGTATCGCTTTATACAAAGGTACACTGTGAGTATCGCTAAGGCAATGCGAGGTCATCGGTCGACATGTGTCGAACAGTGTAGTGCGCGGGAAAATTGAAATAATTTGAAACAGTTTATGAGTTATTTTATTAGTTGATATTATTGATTGATTCAGTTTTAATAAGGCATGCCCGGCTTTTCGGCTTTTATAGAAGCTTCGCCACTGGCTTGCCGGACTTTTTTAAAAGGAGTAAACTTGTTTTTTAAAATAAAAAATAAAAATAAAAGTTTTTTTGCAACCTTCCGCTAAATAAATACAATGATATGTCTTACCTGGATTGAAGAGCACCTCCCGCCCTCCCTCAATTGCATGCACTAACTCCGTCACCACTAGTCCCAGCACCACTACTCCCAACACCACTATTCCAGGTAAGACACACCATCGACGATAATACGACACGTGTTTCGCCTCTACACGAGGCATCTTCAGGTAATTTAGACTCTACGGCGGCTGACCGCTAAGTAGTGGACCATACTGGAACTTAATCATCTTATTTTTGATCTTATTTTGGCAAACGAGCATGCGGCTCATCTGATGGTAAGTGACTACTGCCGCCCATGAACACCTGCAACAATAGGGGTGTTAAAGATGCTTTGCCGGCCTTTTAAAAAAGAGTAGGCTCTTTTCTTGAAGGTCCCTATGTCTTATCGATCCTGAAAAAAAAGTTGGTGGTAGTCGATTCCACAAGGAAGTTGTGCGAGGAAGAAAACTACTTGTAAATCGCACAGTAGTGGAACACCAATCATCCAGGTGGTAAGGATGGTATCTCGAGTTCTGTCGCGATATGCGATGGTGAAATTGAGCGGTTGGAATTAGTCCGAACAATTCCTCTGAGTAGTGGAAATACGATAGAATATACAAAGAGATGCAACATCTCTTCGCAGCGCCAGTGAGTCAAGCTGATCAGAAAGTGCAACATATCATTGATATTGTTATGGAGCATTATTACTAATAACAAACTATAATTATATTTCTATAACATTTTGAACAATTAAAATGCATTAAAAAATTCATTAAACTTTTTAAAATTCTGCTTAAATATTCAAAAGGTATTAAATAAATAAATAAAGTATTAAATAAAAATTTAAAAGTTGAAGAATGCGGGTTAAGAATGGGTGAGTTATAACCATGAAATGCCTTTTGTACGCCGACGATCAAGTCATACTTGCGTCGTCGGCGGCCGAGTTGCAAATGATGGTTACAATAATGAACAGGTCATTAAAAGAAAGGGGAATGAAAGTGAACGCAAGTAAGACGAAAGTGATGGTTTTTGAAAGAGAAGAAAGCAAAACGGTATGTGAAATAAGAATAGAAGGAGAGTTAGTTGAGCAAGTGGATGAGTTCGTATATTTGGGATGTGTATTCAGCAGGGATGGGAGATAAGATAAGGATATTGAACGACGAGTGAATGCAGGAAATAAAGTAAATGGGGCTCTACACTCTATTACGAAAAGTCAGAATGTGTCAAAAAAGGCACGTATGACAATTCACAATGCTGTATTAGTTACTACTTTAAAGTATGGTAGTGAGAGTTGGGTGTGGCAGAAGAAGCACGAGAGTAGAATAAATGCAGTAGAAATGCGGTCGCTAAGGAGTATGTTAGGGCTGAATCTGAGTGACAGAGTGAGAAACTGTGTGATAAAAGAAGAGTGTGGTTTGCAAGATGATGCAGTGACGAGGATTAAGAAAGGAATGCTTCGGTGGTTTGGTCATATAGAAAGAATGAATGCGGAAAGACTGACAAAGCAAATATATGTTGCAGAAGTGAATGGAAGAGTCGGAAAGGGACGTCCTAGGCGGAAGTTTGTCGACCAAATTGGCGATATACTAAAAATCGGCCAAATTAAGAGTACCCTTAACCGACGAGCATGTATGCGTAGGTATATGGATGTGGAAGAGGCGAGAGAGGTATGTCAGGATCGTGCTAAATGGAAGTCTGTAGTCTCTGCCTACCCCTCTGGGTGACAGGCGTGAGTGTTTATGTAAAGGCAAGGTAGGTATAAAGTAGGTATTACATTATAATTAGAAAATGGATTAAAATATTTCAAAGTCACTGAGCGTGTTCGTGTAATTATTGGTTTTATAAGGGTGTTGCCCATGGAATACTATTATTATAGTTTTAGTTGCCGCACTGCAGTCATACAAATCTATATGGGTGGTCGTCAGGAGGCTGACTATCGAAGTACAGTTGCGCAAAGTAATAGTCCCATTTTAAAGACTTCCGATTGTAGTGTCTATGATACAAAAGCAATAATATAGAAGGTCTCAAATATGTAAAATCATTATATTGAATATTGATAGAAATGGAACTTGAAAAGATTATTATAGTGGCGTGTAAACGAGACTGCGGTAAACATGGACACGATAACCGATATGTCCTAGGCATATCACATGTTAGTGGTGGTGATGAGCAGGTTTGTTGTAGCAATACGACTTGCCCGTGCACATCGCATACCCCTACCTGAGCGGTATCCGAGTGCATAGCATTGTGAATTATGATTCGTTGGCTATCTTTCCGATTAGTAAATGTGTTTGGAAGTACTTTTAAGTGCAACAAGCATACTCAACTTCATGTCTTAGTGCAATAGCTCTATGATACATAAATGTTTGGTTACACTGGCGTCTTAGTAGCATGCTTCTATGATACGTACGTGGCGTTGGTGCTATTTTAATTAACAATGGTAACGCCAGTTAACAATCTACTTTATCAACATTACATTACATATCGCATTGAGTTCGTCCTAAGTTATATCTACTTTATCAACATGACTAGTGCATATTTTTTGTTTCCTTCCTTCCTTCCCTTTCCTACCGCACGCGCTGCCGCCGAGGTGAAGAAAAGGATCTCGGCGCGCGTCATTATACTAAGTGACATTACGTTCTCCGCAACGCACGGCCAGCCGTCGCGTCTTATATATATTAACCGAGGCAGCCCTCATCAGGTCAGTGCGTGCTATCCCACATATTTATTTTCTCCTTTGCCGTATGCACCAAAATTACAGTTCACTAAATACTTAACGAAGATACCTTAAGTTACTGGCGTCTCCATTTTAATGGTCATTTCTCGCTGGATTGACCTTGACTTTCCGCCCTTATTAGATCGTTATCGTAATAAGCGTTTATATAATTAATTATTTATATTTTTAATCCGACTTCGGATTAACCCCGCCCTTATTAGAACACTA